ATTTTGTAAATTTTTTTTACTATTTGCAAGAAGAGTATATCATTTTTATCATTGTTCCAACTTATTTAGTACCATTAGAATATTTTTTTTTGTAACGTAAATTTAAAAAAAAAAATAAAAATGTAAATTGCTTTCAAATAACAAATGTATGCATTTCTTAACTTACGTTTGACTTTTTTAAAACAAATTATTACTCTTAAAGTGTCTTGATATGTAAGTATGTACTAATAAGTATTTTTTTAAACAAAAAAATTAAAATTTTTTTTGAGAGAAATTGTTTGGAAAAATTGCATTTTTTTAAACAAAACATTTTTAAATAGTACATTTCTGATTTTTTATACTTAATTTTTTTTTCACTTTCAACAAGGTTTTAGGAGTATTTATTTAGCTTTGTTTTAGCTTATTTAAGAGCATTAGAATAATTTTTTTATATATTTAAAACTACGAAAAGATTTTTTTTAATCCAACTATAAATCGCTTTCATGTTCTGAATAACATGAACTTACGTTTGATAGTTATAAAACATTGTTTTAAAATGAGTTATAACCCTAAAAATGCTTCGGTGTGTTTTATAGTTAAAATATATACTAAAAAAATTTTTTTTTTTTTTATGATCGATCAAATCATATTTTGGGTTATAAATTGTTGTTCAATAGAGCAATGAATTCTTTTTTTTTTCTTTTTGCATAGAAGTAGTGTCTTTTCTTTTTGCAATAGAAGTAGTGTAAAATTTCAAAACTAAATTTCGTCAAAATATTTTAGAATGTTGTGATTTATGCTGAGTGTAGATTACTTGTGAGTGTTCTTTAAGTGTATGTGAGTGTTCTTAGTGTATTTTAAAATCCTTAACTGGCATATTTGAGAAAAGCTAACATTAGATGGTACATAATATTTTACTCTCCAGTATAAATGATTTATTGCCCGGTTGTATATAAAGCGGATTGAAATTCATCGTTATTTTTAGTGATAAAAGTAATGCCTGTAAAATATAGTTGCACTTTATTACGTATTTTTTAGCGGTGAATTACACGATAAGCTCTTTGTTTTCTTTTCTAATTTAACAGTCTTATGTATCAACGCCCTCGTCAGTTTTTCTAATGAAAGGTTTAAATATGAAAAAAATAATAATAAAAAGGCGCCGAATGATAGTCTCATCGCTCGTGCAGCTGTTGTCATTACCTCTCGAATCATTAAGCCTGCCGCAATTCATCACAGTGACGGTCACAATTAACTTGTGTCTTGTATTTTTCTCCTCTCTTGTCACTTTTCATAATTGAAATGAGGCCTAGGTCTAATGAACTCAAAACAAACTGTCATCATAGACATTAATGAATAGTTTTCTTTGAAATAAAACTTTTGAGACTCATGCTAAAATTCAAAGTTTATTTATCAAAATTGTTTTATTCACTGACAATTACAATACTGTACTGTTTTTGCTTTAATCATCCAGATTTAATTAAAATTTCATTTTTATTTAATTTTTAATTGTCTGTTGTTTCAAATGTAAGTAAATAATTGGCATTTTTGGGACCAATTTGCATTTCTGCTACTTAGTGAAACATATTGTATTTTTCTCCTCTCTTGTCACTTTTCATAATTGAAATTAGGTCTAAGTCTAATGAACTAAAAAAAAACTGTCATCATAGGCATTAATGAATAGTTGTCTTTGAAATAAAACTTTGAAACTTATATTAAATTCAAAATTTATTTATTAAAATTGTTTTATTTTCTAACAATTATATTACTGCACTGTTTTTGTTTTAATTGTCTAGATTTAATTAATTTTTATTTAATTTTTAATCGTCTTTTGTTTTAAATGTAAGTAAATAATTGGCATTTCTGTGGCCAATTTTCATTTCTGTTACTTAGTGTAACATATTGTATTTTTTTCCTCTTTTGTCACTTTTCATAATTGAAATTAGGTCTAAGTCTAATGAACTAAAAACAAACTGTCATCATAGACATTAATGAATTAATGTCTTTGAAGTAAAACTTTGAGACTCATACTAAAATTCAAAATTTATTTATTAAAATTGTTTTATTTTCTAACAGTTATATTACTGCACTGTTTTTGTTTTAATTGTCCATATTTAATTAAATTTTAATTTTTAATTGTGTTTTGTTTTAAATGTAAGTAAATAATTGGCATTTTTGTGGCCAATTTACATTTCTGCTACTTAGTGTAACATATTTTATTTTTCTCCTCTCTTGTCACTTTTCATAATTGAAATTAGGTCTAAGTCTAATGAACTAAAAACAAACTGTCATCATAGGCATTAAAGAATAATTTTCTTTGAAATAAAGCTTTGAGACTCATACTAAAATTCAAAGTTTATTTATCAAAATTGTTTTATTCTCTAACAATTATACTACTGTACTATTTTTGTTTTAATCGTCCAAATTTAATTAACTTTTCATTTTTATTTAATTTTTAATTGTCTTTTGCTTTAAATGTAAGTAAATAATTGGCATTTTTTTCGACCAATTAGCATTTCTGCTACTTAGTGTAACATATTGTATTTTTCTCCTCTCTTGTCACTTTTCATAATTGAAATTATGTCTAAGTCTAATGAACTCAAAACAAATTGTCATCAAAATTATTGAATCATTATAATTAAATAAATATTGCTTAATTTGTCTTTAATTTTGATTTAAAAATAATAATGCATGCGTTACGCTTTAGAAATCTTATGAGTCAAATTATATTAATTTCTTTATTTTATTTTAAAATGAAATCATTGTTCTGAAATTAATCTTAATATTTTTAAACTTAAATATTTTATTTACTGGAAGCTCAAACAAAGTATTAAATTTGTTATGATCCTTATCCAAAGCAATTTCTTTTTATGAAAAGCTTATTTATCTTTAGTTTATGAAAAGTTATTTTAAATCCTTAAAATTTTTAAATAATTTTTTATGATGTTACATTGATGATACTTATGCTGCTAATCAGGATTATCTTTTATACTTTCTTCGGGCAAGTTTTTTTTCTTTTCTTTCAACTCACTTTTCGACGCAAGTAATTATTTTTCAAAACCTCAGATTATTTAAAGGGTAAATACCTATAATAACTGATTTTATTTGATTCACTGATTTTCTTTTTTAGAGATTATAATTCGTAATCTGAGTTGATTTTTAAACCATTCATTTTATTGATTTTTAACTTCATTTAAATATTGTTCATTATTTCCTCCAAACTAAAATGGTATTAGAATTGTAGCAACTTGTTGATGAATAACAGGTGGACTTCAGCGCACAGTGGTCAGAACATGAGAAAAGCTGGTCCCAAAATTAAAACTGCTCATAAGTACAAAACATAGATCTTTTTTAGTTGGTAAAATTTTATTTTATTTTATAACCATCGTTGAAGGGCCGAACCACTTTTGAGTTTGCGACTACCAATGTTCAGTTCCATAGCTTTGTAATTTTGAAACCATTCCAAAAGACAAGGTAAATTCCTAGACCAAGTTTTGGAGAGAAATAGGCTTTCGTGGAAAACTTTTTGATGAAACTATTCAGCATTTGCGTTACATGAAGAGGAAAACCACGAAAATCTCTAACAGTTAGCCTGATTATAAATAGGACTCAAAAACTTGACGTAAAATATCCTCAGTGGTAGATGACCACTGAGAATATTTTATGTCAGCATTGTGGTAGGTGCGGAATTCGTATTGACCAGCCGTTGCTGGGATTCGAACCCGGGTCCTCTCATTGGGACGCGATCACTCTAACTCCCGAGCTACCACGGCTCTCAGAAAAGCATAAAGCATTATCGAGAAAATCACTCTAGAAAATATTCTAAATCCCACAACATTGAAGACTTGTTTAAGCGATTCTCAATAGTGATCCACTTATTTCTCAACTTGGTAATAGGTATAAAAAAGTGTTAAAACAACTCGATCCCATGGTAAAATTCTCTTAGTTATAGAAAATAATTAAAACCAATGGAATAATTATGGAATAATGGAATAATTACATGATTTTTATATACATTTTGTAGAAAAGAATGAAATTATCGTATAAAACATTCCACTAAAGGTGATAATTTATTAAAATAATAATTTTCTTTAGAACTTGTTCATAAGAATGCAGATTTTATTACTATTTATTCTTTTATTTTTCTTTCTCTTTTTTGCTTTTTTTGCTTTTCTTTTTGTTTGTTACTCCCCATAATGCCATTATGAGCTTTGGTTAATATGCGCATAATAGTAACATATCAAGATTAAATGCACAAAATAATATTAAAATATAACTTTTTTTTTGAAGTAATATTTATGATTAATTCGACAATATTGGATCAGCCATTTTGGAAAATGGAAATTCTAACCTTAGATTCTTAATCAATGTCCTCAAAAACCCTTATATTAATTAATTTTAAAAAAAAATATAATTGAAGTATGAGTGTAGGCCAGCTTTATCCGAGATCCAACCACTGTGCCGAATTCTATTTGATTTCGAAATAAGATCAGAAAAATTAATTAATTATTAATTATATTAATTATTTACTTAATTATTGTGATTAATTATTTACTTAATTATTGTGATTAATTAATGTAATAATTAATTTCGTATTAACGAGAGAAATGCATGGAATATTAGAAAAAAGTATTTGTAAAAATCACAAATACGTAAAATGAAAAAGAAATTCATGTATAATTTATTTCAAACTATGTCGAAATATTAATTTATGTTTAAATGAAAATGTTTGATTAATACGAATCACATCGTACTAGCGTGGGGGGAAAATGCAAGAAATATGTAAATAAAATTTGAAATCGTAATTAGACCAAATTTTGAATAAATTAAAGGATGTTAAAAACAGTAGAGTTAAGTCACAACCAGTGAAATTATTTTATTTTCTATATTGAAGATTGTATTTTATGTAAATTTTTATCATGTTATATTATATTCATGTTGTTCATATTTTAAACTTATTTTTGAAATATTTTTATATATTACTGCATCTTCAAAATTGATTTTTTTTCTTAACGTTTAATTAGACCTATACTGGCACAATTTTAGTTGCAGTGAACCCATACAAAGAGCTGCCGATTTATGAAACGGTATGTATATTTTTCTTACAATAATAGTTCAAAGTTGATTTTTATTTTGTTGTAATGGGACATTATTTGGTGTAAGTGGTAATTAAAACTATGCTAATAGAAGTTTATCTTATTACCCAAACTTTACAAAATTATATTAAGGGGACCGGAAAGCATTTGATGTTTGTTATCACGATTTTATTTTTAATCAATATTCATCCTCGTATTTCTAATCAATATTCACCCTCGTTAGCAACAACCCTTCAATGCCGGATCGAAAATGAATCGAAAATAATGAATTGGGTTTTAAAACTAAAGAAACGACATTACTTTCCTGTCCCCCTAATAATTTTAATGTGCGTAATAATTATAGACCTAGTGCACAAAAAAAAAGCGGAGCAGTTGAATATTTTTTGATCTATTAATCAGGCTTTCACGTAATGTATTCTTAATGGTGAGCGGGTTGTAAGTTTGAGTCCCTTTTAATGTTAATTTTTATTTCTATTTATTATGCTATCTCTTTGGAACTATTTAAACGTATCAAAATCTTTTTGCACACAGTTATAAACCCTGTTTTTCCATAAATGTTTTTATGCAAAAAATTTTCAATAATTAGTAATAATATTTTGCTGTTAATATTTTGCAACAAATATTTTACTATTGAGTTTAATTATGATAAAAACTTAAATTGTAAGGGTATAAAAATTTTAAAATCATTTTTATAAATGTGTATAGCACAAAATCCAAAATGAAGAAATTCAGTAATCAATAGCCCTTTGAAGCAGATGGGATACCGGGGTGTCCCTTTTTTTAAATATTTTTTCAGACCCTCTAATCACAAGCAAAAATATATTTTTGGTATATATTGGTATTTTTGGTATATTTTGGCTTAAAAACAATCAATAATTACTAAAAAAATTCGGTTAGATTATCAGAATTATATTTGCACTTAAATATAAAATCCATAAAAAATAGTGTGAATTTTTATTTTTATTTTCATTCATATTAAAAAAATTATCAATAATTGGTTTTGTAAATTAAAGAAATTTCAATAATGAATTACTGTTTCTATTAGATCTAAATAGTTGTAAATGAGAGCAAATTAGAAAAATTATTGTTTGGAAGTCAGCCGTGTGTGAAAGATTTTACCTTTAACACAGATAAAAGACACAGGTGTTTCATGCTGTATTTCCCAACCATAAATTATCAAATTGCTAAATATAATATTTTTCACTTATTTTAACCTGAATTTATACAGAACAATGAAAAAAGTATGAAAGATATGTTTACTAAAAATTCTGCGTCAAAGGATATATAAGAAAATTAACGATTTGAACGAAATTAATTCTCGAGTAATAAAAATACGACTTTTTGGAAGTATCGTGCTTAGGATATTTTCTTTTAATTATTGATAGTGGATCAAATGTTATCCATGAGTTCTTTTTTTTTTCTCTTGCTCACATTGTACAGTATCGTGCTTAGGATATTTTATCGTGATTAGGATGGAAGTATCGTGCTTAGGATATTTTCTTTTAATTATTGATAGTGGATCAAATGTTATCTATGAGTTCTTTTTTCTTCCTCTTGCTCACATTGTACAGTATCGTGCTTAGGATATTTTATCATGATTAGGATGGAAGTATCGTGCTTAGGATATTTTTTTAAAATTATTGATAGTGAATCAAATGTTATCCATGAGTTCCTTTTTTTTCCTCTTGCGCACATCGTACAGTAAATCAGGATGACTTAGTCATCTGAAGCATCTCTGCCCGATTTTAGAGTCATCATCATTTTTTTTCTAAAAAAAAAAAAAAAAAAAAAAAAAAAAAAAAAATCTGGCAAAGTTGCTTTAGTTTAAAGTGAGTATCTAACTATGTATTTTGTCCTCGTCATAGAATTGGGTGTTGCAATACAGTGGTAAAAAGATTGGCCAGCAAGATCCCCATGTGTTTGCCATTGCTGAAGCTGCTTACAATAGTCTCCAAACTTTAGATGAGAACCAAGCTTGTGTGATAAGCGGTGAAAGTGGTGCGGGAAAGGTAACAAATTACTGAATCTTTCTTACTACTGATTCTTTTCTTTCATTTTTTTAAGAAATAAAATATCTATAACGAATAGCATTGTATGGCGCACTCTTTTATGAAATGCGTAGAAACCAATGTGTTGTTGTTGTTGTAGTTCATTTACGTCGCACTAGAGCTGCACAATGGGCTATTCATCCCTGAGGATGATCCGAAGACATGCCATCACAATTTTGATCCTCTGCTGAGGTTATGGCACCCCCGCTTCGGTAGCCCGACGATCTGCACGCGAAGTCGAGCACTTTACGGTAGAACAGTTTAATGAAGACCAAAACCGTGCACCCTCGGTCCCTGCGCAGATTGATCCAAGTGGTCACCCACCCGCACACTGACCGCAGCCAGTGATGCTTGACTTCGGTGATCTGCTGGAAACCGTGTCTTAACGATCAGTCCACTGCGGGACGATAGCATGGATGAAGTAATAATTTTTTAAGAACTCTACTAACTGTAATTTTCCAACTTAAAATAAATTTTCCAGTTTTGAAAGTACATTTGAAATGCCTAAAAACGCAGAAGATCAATGCAATCTTTATATCATGACTTATCTGTAGTCCAGAGAAAAGTTAAGGTATATTTTAAATAAATAAAACAAACAGTATTTTCTAAAAAAAATATTAAACAGTAAGATAGTTGGAAGAAAGAGAAAATAAATATTTCCCTAAAAGATTTCCACAAAGGAAAATTTTTTTCAGTTTGTCTAATTCAGTTTGTCTAAAATTTTTTTCAGTTTGTTGCCCTGGTTATGACAAAGCGTTTTCTTTGTATATATTCGAAACTTAAATCACACAAAATGTGTTCGTTTTATTTCTTCCCTCTATTTGTATGCTAAAATAAATAAAGTGATGGAATAAAAGTTGACACAATAAATAAATACCCTGCTTTAAATTTAAGGAAGAATGCTATGAATTTGATTGTAGTTCTTTATATATATCTATCAAGCATTATTGTATTTTTTTTCAACTACAAATATAAATTTGCTTTTATTCAACTCTTTCCTCTTAAATTATTTTTCGCTTATTTTGTGTGTGTTTTGTTTGGATCAAAAATATATTTTTAAAATAAATTCCCAATTAAAAAAAAGTTTAAATTTTTTTTATATAAAAAAATGAGCTATGAAATTTTTAACGAAAATTTCTTTCTGCTTGTGCTACTAACCTACCTCTTAACCATGGTTTCTCATAAAAGGTTTGTCTCGTAGAAAATAAGCGTAAAAACCACAATGATAATGATAGTTAACCGAAAAACCAGAATCGCCATGTTTGTCGGAAATAATATCAAAAAATTCTCTTATTAACTAAAAAGTCAGGGTGCGTAGCGTTTTTAAAAAGTGCTTAAAGGTGCTTATTTTCAATTTTCGTTTTTTAAAAGTCCTTAAAGGTGCTTTTTTCATTGGGTGTTTTTAAAAAGTGCTTAATTTTCCCTTTTTCAAAATGAGAATTTTCCTTTACTATGTTGATTTTCGCTTCGAATTATGCAAAAATACACAGTTCACATTGTTCTATTCAACGTTTTTACAATTCATTCAACCACTATCTATTTCGGTGTATAAGTCAGTCCGTAGCGTATAAAAACGTCATTCGTTTTACATGTTTCAAAATTTCATGATTTTTGACAATTGTCAAAAACAGTGTAAAAAGGTTTTTTTTTGACATGACGGTTAAAACAAGATAAAACCGTCTATTGTCAAAAACTTTCCAACCCTGCCTAATTATGATATTTTTTTATGAAGTGTTTGAAAGTATTTTTGAGTGCTTAAAAGGTGCTTATTTTTTGTTGGATAATTTGGCTACGCACCCTGTACAACACAGCTTAGTTAGAAAAGGTTATTCAAAAANATACCGATTATCCGGAACGATCGCTATTCCGGATAACTGATTTTTCCGGTTTTCTGAATCGCAAACTCAACTAAAAAAAAAAATATTTGGAAATAATCTTAAAAAGAAGAAAAAACGATGAAGTAATACACTAATGATTATTTCCAAAATGATGGTAAGGATGGTAATCTTTCAAAAAAGAAAGAAAAATCCTAAAATCTTATGAGGAAAAAAAAATTAAAAAAAAAAGATAACGGGAATATTTATTGAATTTCGTTCCGGTTTTTTGGTTTTCCGGTTTTCTGATTTCCGGATAATGGGTTCTGTACTGTATATATATATATATATATATATATATTCAATTGTTATTTTTTGTAAACTTTTATTTTCTAAATAATAATGCTGATGACACTTCTATTTATAATTTAAGACTGAAACTACGAAGTTTATCCTTCAATATCTATGTACTGTGACAACAAATGTATCAACGTGGATCGAGCAGCAGATCTTAGAAGCCAACACTATATTAGAAGCATTCGGTGAGTATTATATGGATTATTTCTATCTGACTCCATTGTACTTGACATGAGTGTCGATGAGCTTATGAATCTTGTCTTCTGACTTTATCTCACCCCAAAGGATTAGCAACAACAACAAAATGTCTGATTTTAGTATTTTTTTTTCTTCTTCAACTTGTTATACTTTTATGTTTGTTGGATTCAGTTTATGGAAACTTTTTTTACTTTATATGTTACAATGCACTTAGGTATTTTGCAACACATTTTAAATTCATTTATTGAATTTTATAAACTTTCTCAATGGTGTAAAAATTGTTGCTTATGTGCAGGGTGTTTTGTAATCACAGCCCTTAATACATTTTTTGTAAGAATCTAAATAAAATAAAAGTAGTCCTGATAAGTGAGTACATATTACCAAAGTATAGAAAAGTAAGTAAGAAAAATCGCTATTTAGGATAATAGGTTTAAAAGTATTAAAATCAGTTTAAATTGATAGAGGATGAAAATTAAAGACTTTTAATTGATTTTCTGGTTCCTCTAGAAAATATAATTTTCTGATATTTTTAACTTACCTTTCTAGTTAACTATTCAGGGTTTTATAATGTGAACAACAAAATGTCTGATTTTAGTATTTTTTCGTCTTCAACTTGTTATACTTTTATATTTGTTGGATTCAGTTTATGGAAACTTTTTTTACTTTATATGTTACAATGCACTTAGGTATTTTGCAGCACATTTTAAATTCATTTACTGAATTTTATAAAATTACTGAATTTTATAAAGTTTTTTTTTCTTCCTCGCTGCAATATTGTTCCCAATGTTTGTATACAGATAATTTATTCAATTTTCAAAAAGGTTTTAGAAAACTATACACTAATGGTGGTCTTTGCGAAACACTCTGTCTGTCTTAATTAATTATCAACTACTAAATATTTGCTAACCTATGTGCTTTATGATGAATATCTTCAATTAGAATGTAATGACGATTATAAAAAATTAAAATGTCAATTAAAATGAATGAGACACCAATCACCATTTGCTTTTACTGATGAGTGTTTTTATTCAAATTGTCCTGGAGAGTAAGGGTGGTATTTGCATGTTTTAGCATGTTATAACTGTCTTTTAATCATAGATTTTTTTTTTAAAAAAAGCGCTAGAAAAAACAAATTCAAAAATTATGAAATAGAAAATATTACATGAACGTACGTATACTATGTATGTAAATGTGTGTATAATAATATGTGTATCTAATTATGTATGTACATAATGATATTACATGTATGTAAATATATGCAGTGCACAAAATAAAAAACGGATCACCCTGAATAACTTTTGATCTGATGATCGGATCTTCACGTTCTAGGACTCAATCTTAATGGTTCAAAGAGGTGACCTCAAATGTGCTAATTAAGCAATATTTTGGGTTTTTTCAGACACAAAAAATTGCTTTCACTGAATAAACATGCCTTTTTTTGGAATGGGTTCGGATTTCTAAATCCCAAATTATAGGGACAAACCACTATCTGAGAAATATAGTCCTAATAGTTTGATCATGAGAGTGGTCCAAAGTTTAGACTCCTTAATATTAGTTACGTATTTCACCTTATCTCGAAAACTTTTTCAGCAAATAGAAATTTTTTTCCCACACAATTATAAAATTTGTTCATTCAAAAATTATTCCATTCAAAAAATAACTTTTAGTAAACATTTATTAACTTGTTATTATTTTATTTAATAATTATCTTATTTAAGAGCCGAAAAAAAATTTGAATTGTAAGGTATAAATTTTTTTTTTAATTATTTAAAAAAATGTAATTTTGCATAGTAAAATATAGAATTTGTGCAAAATCAGTCTGATAGTTCCTGAGATATTTGTTTACATTGTCTATAATATTGTCCCTGAGAAATATGGGATTTTAAAAATACGACTTTTTTATTTCAGTATGTTTATTCAGAGAAAGCAAGTTTTTGTGTTTGATTTCGTAACTTAAATTGTCGTCTGCACTAATTAACATATTTGAGGTCACCCCCTCAAGCTATTGCAATTGAGTCTGGAACTTGAAGATCTGATCATTTGATGACATATTATTCAGGGTGGTTTGTTCTTTTCTTTTGCACACCATATATATACTATGTTAATAAATGCATATATAATAATATATTTAAAACTAATGCATGCATATCATGGTGTTACATGTAATTCCAAATATGAACATATATACTATCAAATGTGTATATATGTATCATATTATATTTGCTGTTGTCATTTGCAGTTTACTGTTTTGCTTAAATTAGTAGTTATGAACTTGAAGTACACTTAACACAAAGAAATTTATTTTTTTAAATTTTTTTTTTCTCCAATGGCAGGCACTGAACACAAAGAAATTTATTTATTTTTTCTTTTCGTAGGCAATGCAAAAACTGTTAGAAATGACAACTCCAGTCGGTTTGGTAAATTTATTCAAGTGTGTTTTGACGCGAGGTACCAAATCAAAGGATGCATCATTCAAGATTACTTACTCGAACAATCTCGAATTACATTCCAGTCACCGGGTGAAAGGAATTACCACGTGTTCTACCAACTTGTTGCTGGTGCACAACGTAATAGGGACTTAAGAGAACAATTCATGATTGGCAGTGCCGAATCCTATACTTACCTCAACCAAAGCAACTGTTTCAAAATTGAAGGTGTTGAAGATGCTTCAATGTTTGATGCTCTTAGACTCGCAATGTCAGTGCTTAATGTGCCAACTGAAATGTGTGATGGCATTTTTAGTGTACTTAGTTCTATTTTGTGGCTTGGAAATCTCAATTTCCAGGATGTGGACGGTGAAAAAAGTAGTTTAACGGCAGATGACCAAGAAATTGTCATGACTGTTGCCACTCTTCTAGGACTAATGCCAGACGAATTAACTCAGGTTTCCCTCCAAAGGCAGATAAACGTCCGTGGTAATGTTACTGAAATACCTTTGAAACTTAGTGAGGTAAGTTAGTTTCATTTTGTTCAGTTGTATCCATCCATTTATCATATTGAAAAAATCAGGGTTGGTAAATAATGATTGAAATTGCTATTCAAATCATTGGATATTTTTTTAAATCAACTGCTTTTTTTTAAAAAGAAAACCATTGATTTAAACCAATCGATTTTTTTAAAATCATTGATTTAATTCATCGATTTAAATCAACTGCTTTTTTTTAAAAGGAAAACCATTCATTTAATTAAACCAATTGATTTTTTAAAAAAATAAAGCATTAAGTTAAAATTTTTTTTACAAATATATTCTTTAGTGTGTGATTCTTTGTAAAGTCTGATTTCATTGATAATGAATGTTTTATTCTATGACATAATAAAGGGGTAAATAATTAATTATATTTCAAAATCGAACTAATAAATAAATAAAATTAGAGCCTAAAAGTGGATAAAAAACATTAAATTGTTAAAAAATAATTTTCCATTACATGTGCATAAAATAATTGGCCGGTAATAAACATATTTCAATTATACCTATTTAGTCTATTTATATTATTATACCTATTTAGTATGTTTATTTAAAGGAGTAAATTATTTTTTCAAAAAGGTAAATTGTGTTTTATTATGTTATATTATATTATATTATATTATATTAAAACAATATAATATCTAATGTATAAGGTGCATTATTTTTAATTAATTATAACGAGATANATTATATACAAATTATTATATTTCAAAATAGACTAATAACTAAATAAAATTAGTGACTTAAAATGGATAAGAGTAATATTAAACTGTTAAATTGTAATTTTCCATTAGCTGTGTGTAAAATAATTTGCTAGTAATAAATATATTTCATTTTACACCCAATTAGTTTATGTTTGTTTGAATACTTTAAGTGCTTTTTAAAATATATTGAATACGTAATTTGTGTTTTAGCAATGTTGAAGAAAGACTTATTTGGCCCAGAGAAACTTACAATAATTTATTTTCTAATCTATTCTGATCTAAACTAATTTACTCTTCCTTAAATATTTAGCTCACAATTTGTCTCCCTGTCTTTAAAATTTTAGGATGCTTAACTTGAAAAAATAACAGTAATTTTATTTATATTCAGTGATAAGTTTGTAATAAATAATAATTTTTGAAGCATTTTGGTTAGAAATATCAACTATTTTAGCGGTATTATTGTTTTTTAATAATATTAAGTATTGTTAATATATTTTATCAGATGATTTGGCTTGTAAATATGAAAAAAAAAATATTTAAAAAAAAGTAAAAAATCTGATTTAAATATAAAAAAATCATGAATTTGGCCAACCCTGGTAAAAATACAAGTTGTTCATTACAGTTCTGTTCATTGATTTAAAGTTTGGGCTTGTTGTTCTGTTCCAGGCTATTAATATATTTCTTTGAAAAAGTATACTAAAAATAGATCATTCAGCTTGTTTAATTTTTATCTTGAATGCTCCATTATTTCTTTTATAATAAGACACATATTACTGAATTGTTTATAGATGACATTATTTTGATTTGAAAGTTGCATAAAATGTGCAGAGATAATCTATAGATACTCTATATAAGATACATTCTTAGATTGTTACTCTCGTATGACTTAATTATAAATTACATTAGTTATTGTGATTTGAAAGATGTATGAATTTTAGCACAATTATATACTTATAGGAATCGTATTAGTTATTATTACAATTTGATGGTTGTAGAAAAATCTACACTACTGATAGAAAGTTTGTGAATGTACTTTTTAAACAGTGCTCATTTTGAAATGGCTGTTTAAATTGCTGTTAAAAAAATGTGTCAAATAAATGTTAGTTTTTTCCCTTCCATTTTTTAGTTTTTTTCTTCTTTTTTTGAAAATCTGTTTTGAAAATTGGATTGTGAAAGAATAACTAATGTGTAAAGAAATTTGTTTAAAATGAATTTTTTATATTTTTATATTATTTACAGTTATATAACAATAAGTTATTAGTAAATATTAAGAGTAAAAAAAATTATATGTTGTGCAAAAAGTCACAAAATTCTAAGAAATTGTGTCACTATATACATCATTGTCTTTAACCTAACTATAAATTCATCTTACTCGATCTCACAAAACTTATTGTTATAGGTTAGTTGAATTAAAAAAGAAAAAAAAATTGAGATTTTTCAAAATGATATATATTTTTTTATATGAAAAGTTATATTTTGAACACTTAGTAAAACTTACAATTTTAATGAATAAATATAAAATTAAGTTGTTATCAATTTAAAAACTTTTGGGAAGTCAGTGCTATTTTTACAAAGTAACTTGGATAAAAAGTTTATTAACTTTGAGCTATAGCTATGAACATCTTGTTTCTTTTATCATATTTTATTTTCTAGGTAATCATTTAAAAACATTTTTTTTAAAAATTAGTTTCAGAAACTGGGATTGATCAAAATCTACAAATTTTGATGATAGGGGATTATTTTCTCCCTATGTGTCGCACATTTTGAGAACAGTAGTAGCATTGAATTTTAATTTTGCTACCCTCAAAATCAAAAAAATTGTATGCCATGAGTAAATTTTTAGTAAAAATTGGTGGCAGTTAGCAAAGTATTTTGTTTTGTTATTTACATCAGAAGCTTTAATGGAACTCAGTTAGAAGTGAAATCGCATATAAATATATTTTTTTGATCATTAGTTTTAAAATTAAAAGTTACTGATCATGAAGTTTTGTTATTTTCTCTTAAATCAGACTCCAAACTTTACTTTTACAACAGGTGTTATGCAACCTGACATAATTTAATTTAATACGTTTTGCAAACTTCACTTTTTCATGCATTTATTGAAGTATTATCAGTTTTTAATAAATCATTATAAATTCAATTTCATAATGATATTTAAGTAAAATTTAATTTACTTTTTGTCATTTAATTTACTTAATATTTGTTGTAATTAAAACCTGATGCTATTTTATGTTTATTAATTTTATTAATTTTTTCTGTACTTTTTTAGTATATGGGCATATTTATATTAGTCTATCAAATTGTAATACATACTACATAACAATACTCTAACACAGTTTATTGTTTAATTCTTTTATTAATTACATAAAAATGTTTTTAGAGGAATTATTGCATTGACTACCTATAAGGTAATTAAAATTGTATTTATTTGTATGCATTTATATCTGCCTAGTGAACTTATATTTTTGTTTGTGCAAAAGTTAAAAACTTTCCAAGCTAAGTCATGCAAAATTTAAATGCAGAAGTGACTTATACTTTTCACATTTGGTATCATGATGAACTCTTTTATTTATAAGAATTTTAACAATTCTTAACTCCTTTAATTGAAACATGTTGGCTACTTTTAAACTAACTATTATTTTCTCTTTCTAGGCACGGGAAAATAGGCATGCTATGGCAAAAGCTCTGTACTCTCGTACGTTTGCATGGATAGTCAATTACATAAACACTTGTACAAATCCTGGCCAAGATAGTGAACGATTTTTAGGTGTTCTCGATATTTTTGGTTTTGAGAACTTTCATGTGAGTGTGTTTAATTTTTATAGGTTTTGTTAATTTGTAAACAATTGCTTGGTTTTAGAAAATTAATGGGATTGAATACTTATGGTTTACGACTGAATAATTTTCTTTTTTTTCTTCAGGTAAATAGCTTTGAACAACTCTGCATAAATTACACAAATGAGAAACTCCATAAATTTTTTAACCACTATGTTTTTGCCTTGGAACAACAAATTGTAAGTGAAATTTTTTTAAGTACTTCAAAATAAATTGAGAAAAAAATGTTTTTAACTATGCTATATAGACAGTTTAGTACTGTACCAATGATTTGAATCTGTGGGTTTGAGTTTAATGAACGATATTAGTTTCTTCAATTATTTTGACTGGTAAATTTAAATCACTGTAACTCATTGTTGATTGAATCATTGATTAGATTTTCAAATCAAGTTATTGGTTTTTTTTCTTTTGTATAGTGGAGTTGATTTGTCACTTTAATAATTGATTCCGTTAGTGATATGAAACTTTCTTTTAAACTTATATTTAAATATTGATTTTACTTGTGATTGAAACCATTTGCTTTAATTTTTTACTCAGTGCTGTGATTTAAATCATCTACCCATTGCTCAAATTATCAATTTGTTATTTAAATCATAAACTATTGACTCAAAACAGAAGTCACTAGTTTATGATTTAAGTAACAAATTAATAATTAATTATTTGATTCAAATCTCTAGAATGTTTTTTTCATTTTGTCCAATTCATGTTTTTATTAATAATTTTATATTTTTCATTTTAGTATCAAGAAGAAGGAATTGTTTATGATCACATTACATTTACAGATAATACTCCATGCTTAGAACTGTTGGAAAAAGTACTTATTTTGCTTTTTTAATTTTAAAATGATATGAATAATGATAAATGATATAAAATTTCCACAAAATTGTGCAAATTTTATACAATATTTATATTTTATCACTAAATTTAATGTTTGAAACTAAAATATGCTGTTTTTACAGCCTCCTAAATGTGTTTTGAGATTACTTTCTGAAGAATGTCGAATGCCTGGGGTAAGTATTATTTGTTATTTTTCTGTCATTTGTTATTTTTCCATCATTTGTTATTTTTCCATAAACTAGCTCTAACCTAAATGTAATAAAATCAACAACCAAACAAATGACTACAATTAAACCAATGAAGAAAAAATTAAAGAAAAATTTTTTTTTATAAAAACTATAATTTATCTTGCCATAAAATATTGTTTCTAAAAGTAATATTTACAAATGTCCCCTTTTTACACATTTTAAAAAATTATTTTCGAATAATTTTCCGAAATTTTTTATTTATAGCTAGTATATCCAGATAAAATGCTGCAGCCTATCTGTAGTAAATCTTAATGTAATAATATCGCATACAGTATCTTAAAGTTAAGTATAATTTCAGTATCTTAAAAGTAAATTATTACGATAAATTAGTGTATATTAAATTACAAAATCAGATACAAAAACTTACTTTCTCTAAATGAACATAACTTTTTTTTTTCCAACTGATTTAATTTTTGACCCTTAAAATAATCTGCAATCTGGGAAATATGGTCCCCATAGTTTGGTCAGGAGAGTGATTCAAAGTTTGGACCTCTTAATGTTAATTTTACTTTTTGCGTATTTGGCCATATCTTGATAACTTGATTGAAAAATTTTTTAAATTGAAATTTTTTTCGCGCAGTTACAAAATTTATTTATCTAAAGATCATTCCATGCAAAAAATTAAGATTAGTAAATATTTATTATTTTATTTAATGATAGTCAAAAAAGTTTTAAAGTGTAAGGCATGCAACTTTTTGCATCATTTTAAGAATGCAAATTTAAATAGCAAAATACAAAATTTGATCAAAATTGGTCGAATAGTTTCTAAAAAATTTTATTTTAAATGTACGACTTTTCAAAAATTTGATTTTTCAGAAACTATTCTACCGATTTCACTCAAATGTTGGATTTTGCCATGTAAAATTAATTCCTTTAAAATGATGTAAAAAAAATTGTATACCATACAATTCAAAACTTTTTCGGCTATTACTAAATAAAATAATAAATATTTACCAAAACATATTTTTTACATTATCTTTGGATAAACGAATTTTTTAATAGTGTTCAAAAATTTTTTTATTTCTCTTCAAAAATACTCTAGTAATGGCTAAATACGCAAAAAGTAAAATTGACATTAATGGATCCAAACTTTGAATTGCTCTTCTGATCAAACTATGGGGACTTTCCCAGATTACAGCTACCCCCTATATTTTTTGTATCACAGAAAACTGAATCCTTCAACAACAAAAAAAAGGATATTTATTAAGTTTTCTGTGTGTGATTCGTAATTTAAAATATCGGTGGTACTAATTAATTAGCATATTTGAGGTCATCCCTCGGACCGTAAAGATTGAGTCCTAGAACGTGAGATCCAATCATAAAATCAAAAGTTATTCAGGATGATCCTTTTTTGGGGGGGTGCACTATGCATGTATTTTTACCCCCAATGTCTGTGTTCGATACGTTTAATTCATCGATATTTATTTTTCCTTAAAATGATGCAAAACATCTAAAAATCATGAGGTGCTGAAAAAAAATATTTGTTGTTTTTAATTTGAGACATAATAAAAAAATAATTAAGTTGGCATTTAAACTTGTCTTTAAAATTGTTATTTTATGTGAACTATTCAGTATTCAGTCTTTTTTTTAATGTTCAACTTTATTTTAAATTACTACTTAAATTCAATTTTTTATTTCTCAAAAAAACGACTTAATAGTTAAGATAAGCAAAAAATAACATTGAATCTCAGTTGTTCAATTTGTTTGGTATATTTTTCTTTGATTCAAAACCATAGAGCTGTCCTGTATCTATATGTATTGTTGCATCTATTTGCTATAATAAGAAATATTTTATTTATTATCTTCTTTTGCATTTTGTCTAGTTGTTTGGAGACTTCTTGTATTTTGTTAAAAGTTTATTGTATGATTAAGAAAATAATTTAAATTTTTAAGATCCATTTGAATAAAGTAAAGTGTTTTCATTTCTTTTATTTTACTTTCAAAAATTTAGCTGTAAGTAATAAATGACTTGTTGTTACGTTTAATAAGCAGCTGGGAATATCTAATAACATTAAAAGAAATAAGCACTTTTAATGTTACTTGATAATATAAAAAAGATAAATCCTTTTCAATAAAATATAAGTTTAAATGATATAAGAAAAGTTCATGACTAAGAAAACTCATAAAAAATAATTAAAATGCATTTTCAAACTTCAAGACTTTTTGTTTAATCAATACTTTTAGCCACTGGCTCTTTTAAGTTATGTAAACAAAGACATTAACAAAAATATTTGCTTTGGCATTGTAGGAAATAATTGTTCTCTTTAGGAAAGATTGAACTTTTCAATTAGCTTTCTTTTGCTCTTCATTTCTCGCTCAAAAATTAAAATATTTGTTCTTTACCACATTGGAATATTTTTGTTATGTTGTAAAAATTGTTAGGTCTTTAATTACTTGTATTAAAAAAATTGTTCCCAAAAAATAAATTAGTTGTAATTCACTAAATATAGAAAAATTTATTATTTGCATTTACTTAATAGAAAAATGTTTTTTTTCTTCATAAACTAAACACTTATTTTGTATTTTTCAGGGTACTGATTTGACATATGTTACAAAGCTACACCAGGAATTTGATGGGCTAAAAAACTATGTTAAAGGTGATGACAGGCGACGTTGGGAATCTGAGTTTGCGATTAAGCATTATGCTGGAGATGTTGTATATGCAATAACAGGATTCCTTGAAAAAAATAAGGATGCTCAACAGGATCAGTTTTTTGAACTTATGCAAAAATCCTGTAATTCATTTGTTCAAGAGCTTACTAAATTTCAGGTACTTATTCACTTATAATGCATATTCTTTTAATAGGTCAAGTTTCAAAGTTCTTAGATAAATATTTATTGACAATTTTGCGGCATTAATTAATGATTGTAGTTAATCTAAGTTAATAAAAAATTTAATTTGAAATTAATATACTATATAAATTTTATTATTTAAATGGCATCCTCAGATCTTTATTATTATGATTGTTAAATTTCTTAACTTTAATTAATTAAGGTAATGTGTAATTTTATGTAGTGTAACGTTATATTGTAGCATGTAGACCACTACAATTTATTCTATTCCAATTCACTAGTGTATAAGACATGTTAACTCAAATTATATATTAGGGTACCTTTTCATAGATGAAGGTTGACATTGTCTGTAATATTCTCCCCAAATTAGTGACCTGCGGACGTTATCTGATCATGCCTACAAGGACAAACGTGCACACTTTGATTTGAACACGCCTACTTCGATCAATGATCCTCATTGCTCACTTAACTTAACATTGCACACTGCACTATTTATGACTGCGACATTGTCCTCCTCAATCTGTTGCTACTCAGTCTCAGTCACACACAACAAGGGCCAGTACACACTTGATTGCTAATAGCAGCACAGAAGCGATCACGCCCACTCTCTCAAAAACAGCCATGAATGAACTAGTGATATCCAATCATCGAATTCTATCACAGATAAAATTCTGTTGGAGGAGTACTGTAGAGCGTCTACCACTACAATTATTCAATTACAATTCACTGGTATATAAGACATGTTAACTCAATTCTATGTTGGAGTACTTTTTCATAGATGAAGGTTGACATTGTCAATAACACTCGCCCCTCAATATATTTCATATTACGATTTGTTTATTTTTAACTATCAATTAATTCTGTACCTGTCAATAAAAGTACCTTTTTGTAACTTTGCTCTGATAATTTATTCTAAAATTTCTGCTTTATTTTGAACTTTTTTCATGCAATTCTTAAATGTTCCAGAAGGCAATATGAGCTTCGCTTTTATTTAGCATTGTATAATCAATTTATATTTTCTAAAAATAAATATTGAATTTGAGTTGCACAATGTATTTTCAACTGTAGATTATTCTCAAAAAGACTTTTTGTTCATAAATTTATTTATTTTTGGAAATTTTATTATTTACAAGTATATTACTAAGATATTTCTAACTGAACTAATGTTCCACTTTAAGTTTTAAAGTTATCAGCCTTATAAAATATTGAAAAAGTATTAAATTTTTATATAAGACTGTGATTTATATAGTAGTAGTTGAAGTGTTTGACAATTTATTTACTATTATATAGTTGCATACTAAAGTATTTGTCTTTAATTTTGTTTTTATAACTTTTTGAAGCTAATAGTATTTTAAAATTTAATTATAAATAATTAAATACATTAATTATTTTGTACTTTGAAACAAAAAATCTTAATATTATAGTTGTATGATTCTCGTTAAGCTATTTTTTAGTTATAGCTTTTGGCACTCAACTATTCAAACAATTTTTCTTTTAAATAAATTTTGTAACAATTGTTTATTTTAAACTTATTAACATTTTTTAAATCTTTACTTATTTATTTCACATAATAATTCTTTAACTTATTTGTGACTCTTTCTATTATTTTTTTATTGTGAGGTGACATAATTTTATTATTTGTCCGTAACTTATTATTGACTTATATTCTCTTAAAAGATCATTTTTGTTTGAGATTGGTTTTTGATTTGTTTTATCATGAGTAATATTTACCTTATTCTTTTCCAAACTGTTATTTTTATTTAGTTTTGAAGTTTATAACTAATTTTAGAAATATAAATGAAACATTGACTATAAATTTAAATATTTTTTTTTTTTTTTTTAATTTTGGTGTTGACATTTACAACAGTTTTATTATTAATTTGTCTTAAAGATGATGATACCTATTTTTTTCACAAAATTTTTTTCACAATTCAACTTTCTTAAAAAATAATAATAATAATTTTATTTTCCTATGGGTGTTTTCTACACTAGGGAACGCTGCAAGCTCGGGATTGCCTAAATTTCCGGGTTACTGTTTCAGTTGTATTTTAAAGCCATTTGGCATCATTGTGTTTTGAGATTCTTGCAAACAATGTATTTGATTACTTATTACTTATGTTTACAATGCTAACAATACTTGTGTCTACAATACTAAAAGTGTTGACACTAACGTAAGATGGTGCACGGCTTGCAACACGAACAAACAGTAATAAACAAATGGAAAGAGGCCAAATCAAGACTGCCAAAAAAGCGAGTTATTCAAAATCTAGCAACCATGTCACCTTTTTTAATAATAAATAACAAAATAACTAAAACACATTTTCACTCCAAACTCCCCAGAATTACATAATAACATTAATATCTTATGAAAGACTGCAGATTTGAGCTCAGAAATTATCTAATTTATTTCTTTTATTGAAAACAAAATTATCCGTTTGAAAACATCGCCTATCAGAATAACATGTAGTAAGCAGCTGCAAACTTTTTAACCGGAACTAGAGTAGGTCCCGAGCTCGAGATTGTTATTGTTTACATTTCTATTGAAAGCACCATCCATATAAAATATAGCTCACAAACTGCCTTTTTTTTATTTCATTCACTGCATAGTGGCCTACAGCATTTTTTAATTTTTTTGAAATTTTTTATCTAAGCTTCTGATTTCTTTTTAAGAGGTACATTTTTTTAATACAGCTGTATTCTGGAATTCATTTATGATTATTTTGATTTCATTATCCTTATTTACTTATTTTCACTTATATTGTTCTTTATTTATTTTTAGTAGTTCTAACATGCTCTTTTTTTATTTATTTACTTTTTAATTATTCCTATCAACTTATTCTTGTTTGTGTTTTGTTCAGTTGTTCTTGGTTAGTCATTTTTACTAATTCTAATTTAGTCATCCTTATTAACTTGTTCTTATTTATTTATTCTTACTTATATATTCTTATTTAATTGTTCTAGCTTACTAGTTTTTCTATTTTAATTATCTTGATTATTTTATTCTTATTTACATATTCCCATTTCATTTTAATTTAATTATTTTTATTAGATCACTTTCATTAAATCACTTTTAGTTGTTTACACTAATTCACTTATTTTAGGATCTGTTGAGTGTAACAGTTAACAGATTGAAAACACCAGCTACAATATCTCGAACCATGACAAAGGGGAAACCTACTGTAGCTGATGCTTTTCGCCATCAACTCACTGCCCTTGTTGATTTGCTGCACTCTACTAATCCATGGTAAAGATAATCATGTTATTAAGGATAATCTATGAGTTCACCATAACAAAAGTTTTCAAATCCTGATTTAAATATTAATTAAAGTTTTAATTTTATTTCAAAATTTAGATTTTCAATTCAAATTTCATGTACCACATTGAATATTTAGCCATGAATATTACATATTTTGCCAAGATTCTTTTTTGTTCAGTTATGTGTATAAGTTCAAGACTGTATTGAATCTCTACCCAGCAAATACATTTTGATAAATATGAACCTAAATGAGAAATGTTGAATTTTTTTATGGCTAATTATGAACTTGGTTTTACTTATATAGTTAAGTCGTAACATACTTTTCACCTTATTATTTTTCTATTTTCACATTCCATACATTTAATAATAAATCATTTTTTTAGAAATCCATCTTTATATTCTGTTTGCTAATGAGATACTTGTCACCTTTAATTTAAGCACAAGGAATTAAGGATTGTAATTACTGTTGAAACATTTTTTTCTTTCCACATTTATTGAATTTCAGCTTACAGAGTTTAAAATAATTTCCTGTCTAAGTTACGGAAACTTCACCAGTATTTCAGTTGAGAAAAATGTTTTACTTCATAAAAATTCTGTTTTAAACACAGTTTACTGTGCATTGCATAATGTATGTCATGAAAGTATTTATAATTGTTTTATACAGTTACTTTTTAATAACACGAATCTAATAAAATGGATGATAAACTTTGGTTTAACAAAAGTTTTGTTTTTTGACTTCAAAATAGCAACAAATCTGGGATATTTTAATTATCACATATTAGCTCTACCTTCAGACCTGTCTCAACTTATTTTAATTGTTTAATTTTTCCATCATTGATTACTGTTATTATTACTTGTTTGCGTTTTTTCACGAAAAAAACTAATCATATTTTTAAAAAAATGGATTTAATTGTAAAAATTCAATTCAATCCAAAATAATTAACATGAAAAAGCAGATTAAAGGTTTAAGATATAATAAAAAATCATATTGTACTAATAATTGGGTTATCATATTTCAGGTTATAGCTAATTGACTGTATTAATTACTAAATAGTAAATATATATTATTATTTTCTCATTCAGGTATGTGAGGTGTATAAAACCAAATACTAAGAAAGCCGCCAACAACTATGATGAAACTCAAGTCTTGACCCAGCTGCGCTATCTTGGAATGATAGATATTATTCGTATAAGGAAAGAAGTAAGCTTTCTTTTACAATTATTTTATGCTCTTAAAACTTATTTATTTTTTCACTCAAAGTTTTTGTTCATCCAAATTTCTCATATTTTTATTCATAACTTTTAATTAATATTTTTAACACGAGCAATTGATTTTTTTTCAATTTGTTGTTATTAAAACATTTTTGAGGAAAGAAATAAGCTATATAATTAGCAATTTTATTTTGTTTTGTTTTGAAGGAAAAACTGTTTTTTTTTTCACCCAAAGAAATCTTTCTTCTCTATGTATAGTTAAATAATAACACAACATTTATATTTTCAGGGTTTTCCAATTCATACTACTTTTAAAGAATTTCTTCTAAGGTATCGATGCTTAGTAAGAAAAAGGAAAATACCCGATGATCAGATTCAGGCTGTCCGATCTATACTTTCTATGATGAATTTTCCCACTACTGAATGGCAACTTGGTAAAACGAAAGTAAGTTATCTTTTTTCTATCCAATTAAAAATTATAAATGTTTGTTAATTCATTATTTTGGTCTAATTGATAATTTTTCCTTTAATAGGTATTTTTAAGAGGAAGTATTTATGAGCCTCTTGAAGATCAAAGAAAAACGCTAATGGTGGAAATGTCTATCATTGTACAAAAAATATGGAGGGGCTATGTTTGTCGAAAATGTAAATAATTTGCTCTATTATTATTTAAATTTACCTTTATTTCTTAAATATACTACTCTTTCAAAACTTTACTTAATTTTTGACAAGATTAACTTATCCTATGTAATACTTTCATTTATTGTACCTTTCTTCATTATATTATATATATATATACTTTCATTTATATTATGCATATATGTTTGTATTATTTTTTAGTTTGTTCACAAATTGAGTATTTATTTAGTATTAATAAAATCATTGCGTTAGCAATGTTTATTTATAACCAATTTAATGTAGAATCTATGTCTGAAATTTTAAAACATTGTAAATTTTATTTTCTATGATCTTTGCATATGGTGTCGATGCCAGTGTAAATAGCTTTTGTCTCTCTTACTGTAAATTTACTTATTTATTTTTTATTATTTTACTTAAAGATTTGCAGTCTATGAAAATTAAGGATAATGCATTTGTTTAAAATAACTTAAAACTTTTTTAGGACTGAATTAACCTTAAGTTTGAAAAGTATTATTTTGAGATTAAACAGCAAATATTTGCAAACAGTATTCAGCTTGAATAATGCTAAACAACATGAATGAACTGAAAGTAATGCCACAAAATCAGGCATCTATTGCTATAATAACTTTTCTTCCATGTCAATACACATAATTAGCGAAGAAAAATTACAAACAATTGAAGTATTTAATATTTTTGAACAACAGTTATAAATTTTAAGACGATCTTTTTATAAGTTTTCAACTGTCTGAAAAATTATATGTATAGATTAGCAGCTATTTTAATATGTTTTATCTAGCAATTTTATAGTAAATTCAAATATTTACTGTAAAATTCCTAGTAAAATTAAAATATTACCTAATGTAGTTCAATTAAAACATTCAATGCCAATTTGTGTTGATTTCAATAGATTTATTAAATCAATTGAAACATTTCAGTTTTCCAAAGGCATAGAAATGCAGCCATAACAATACAAAGTTTCTTCAGGGGGCATCAGCAAAGAATTCATTACATGCATTGGAGACGAGCTGCTATCACAATTCAGGTACGTTAATTCATTATTTTTTTAAAAAGTATGTTGACATTATTTTTTTATTTTCATCTGTATTATTACTATTAAATTTAAGAATTTTGATGTTATCTTTTATAAAACATTTTGGTTTTTATAAAACATTTTAAAAAGCAAATGAATTCATCATCTGTATTTTTTTTTTAAAGTAAATAAATGAAGGAATATCCTCATTTAAATAAAAAGTAATTTCCCATTACTTTGTTTAAGAATATTTATCTATAATCAAAAATTCATTATTTGCACTTAATATACTTTAATCTATCTTTGCATTTTTAGTAGTTTCTACTGAATTTTTTTATACTCTTAAATATCAATAATGAGAAAATAAACTCTCCAAAATACTATCCTCATAACATCTTGTTTAAGTTTTCTTGTTTTAACTAGTTATTATTTCGCATTATATATATATTTCTTTACAAATGAAATCAATAACAAATAAATCTATTTTTAAAAATCGTGTTTTTATATTCAATTTATAACAATATTTTGTATGTTAAGTAAAGTTTTAAAAGATTGTTTTAACTTGAAAACGCTAATATAAATTGACCTTAACTATTAAACTAAACTCAGTGGTGCGACAGCCCTAGAGGGACAAGGCCTACTGTGCCCATCTCAGTTTTCTTGACTTTGGGCTCTGGGGTGCAAAAACAGATGTTCCGGTCAGGTAGTCAGCCGAACGCGGAACCCCCAGTGTTTAGTTCCCAAGCATGCTTGGTACTCATTTATCGACCCACTGAAGGGATGAAAGGCTGAGTCAACCTTGCCCGGCCTGAGGATTGAACCAGGGACCTGTGGCACGACAGCGCGAAGTGCTACCGTTCAGCCACCGGGCGTCACCTTAACTATTACTTTAGGAATAAACAGCTTTAAATTGGGGCAATTATTTTACAGCGGGGTTTAAAGTTAAGATTAAAATGTACCTGAAATTTATAGGTATTATGTTTATGTGTCTGAATATTCTCAGAGTTTCCATTATATTTTGAGCTTTTTTAATGCTAAAAAAAATACCTCTGATCATTTTTTAATAGTTAGTGTAGGTACAAAATATTTTAGAAATTTTATTTGCTTCTAATCAAAAATTGTGTTGACCATACTGACAAAATGTATAAGTCTCAGCTGTACGTGTATTCTAAGATAGAATTTGTCATAAAATATTTCCATGTTTTTCATGAAATTAGTTTTAACCAAAAATTGATTAACAAACCAAGATAGTTCAAGTTCATAGATGAGTTTTTGATATCTGATACCCGCCAAAAGCTTATTGTGGTACCTGTTTCGCATTTTTTCTTGTTTTCTAAACTAGATTATTCAAAAGGATAAAAAATCTGTGATCTTAATATCTGAATATCTGTGACTTCCAATATGTTGATTAGGAAGGGCATTAAAAACAAATTACAAATTTTCATTTGACAAATTAGATGCCAACTTATTTCTAGTTCATAAAGCACAATGCATAATTCATTTATTTAGGTGCTATAGATACTAGGTAATTATATTATAATTTATTTATTTGCTACTTTTAGGCTTATGTCCGTGGCATGTTTGCTAGGGAAGTAGCTTCAGCTCTGCGAGAAATGAGAAGGGTAGAAGAAGAAATGAGAAGAAAAGAACAAGAAGAGGAAGAAAGAAAGAGACAGGAGCAGGAAAGATTGGAAATGGAGGAACAAGAAAGAGCTCTTCTTGAAGAACAAATTATGTAAGAAAATATTTGCATGATTTCCTTAGTTTTTACCCTATTTAGCTTGCAAAAAATAATTTCCTCATTCAGGTACTGTTCTTTATATGCAACTAAATTTGGAAAAGTTATTTTGAGTTCAGTTTATATAATGATAGCATGCTTTGCTGCTTATTTAATTAATACTTTTGTTACAAACGAAAAGTTTATTATTTAGTTGATCTGAATAAAAAATATAATGGTTTATTAATTCACCAGATTTGTCTGTATTTCAAAAATCTGATAAATTCTACAGTAAATTAAGACTAAGGAATTTTGATCAAATCAGTCTCTTTTCAATCGCTTTGTTGTAATGACAATACTGTACTTAATTTTTATGGAAATAGAATTATGCCAAAACGACTGGTAATTAATAAATATTGCACTTTAACTTGTCTTTCGTCCTACAATGGACTGATCGTAAGATATCAATCCTAGTTGATCACCAAGTCCAGCATCACTGGCAGTGGTCAGTGAACAGGTGGGTGATCGCTCTGATCAGACTGCCAAGAGAATGTGTGGTATCAGTCCTCGTTAAACTGTTCTACCGTAAAGTACTTGACTTTGTGGGAAGTCATCGAGCTACGGGGCGGGAAATATCCTCCAAAGAGGATCAAAATTATGATTGGTTATGTTTTAAAATAATCTTCAGTGACTGTCGATATCAGTCCAAAGTACTACTCTTTCTTAATTAGCCTGTCCTATTAAATTTTTTGTTAAGAAATTTTTTAAAACACCCAAAAATTATTTATTTTGGTTTTTATTATTTTATATTACGTCAATACTTCATAAATCTTGCGATATTAGTTTGAATTGTCCTCTTTTTAGAAAAATTCATTCATATTTTAAGAATTATATTATACTAGTAATTTATAAATTGCATTTAAATTAGACTTTCAAATTGAAATCAAATTTTTCTGTACTTTCAAAAATGTTTTAAATTGACTTTTTCATGAGTATTTAACAGACTTCCAAACTAAATTTTATAATTTTTCTTCAAATCATCTGTACACTTAAATACTTTTAATAAACCCGAGTATTTAAGCATAAAAATTCATGCAAATTTAGTGTTAATTCTTCTTTTGTGTGGATTTGTTTTAAAATATTTTTTAAAACATTTAAAAAAATTTTATTTTAGATTTTATTATTTAATGGTAAGTTAATATTTCATCAAAATTTAAAATATTAGACTAAATTAGCACAGTTTAGGAATATTTCATGTAAAAACCGATTTTTTTGAACTAATGTACGTTTTTGTACCTTTTAAAATTATTGCTCTTTTCAATATTTACACTTCATTCAGTACAAAACTCATTCTTCGCTCTTTTCATTGATATTAACTTGTTTATATTATATTTGTTTATCATTTGTAATTATATTATATTTTAAATTTATAATTCCTAATGCTGTAAAATTTCCTTTAGACTGCAGCTAAGAGAAGATGGAGGGTAAGATTCTTAATATTTAACATTGGCATGTGCATCCAATGTTTGCATGGATGTGCCCTGAAGCACATTACCAAGCATGCAATTTACTAACTGTTATTCTAAACATTTCCAATTATTTTGTTAAAAGACATTAACAATTTTATAATAATGTTATTAATTTGCATCGATTTTATTTTGCCTATGTATATAACACAGTTTAAATTTAGGTAATATGCATTTACATACAATCAAATTGTTTTCTTTTCTAACTTAAATTTAAACAGTTTGTCAATGAAACACTTGTAGCATTAAATGACTAAAATAATCTGTTTTTTTTTTTGCTTCAATTTTTTTTATGAACTGGTTTTAGCAACTTGATTGATTTCCATTATGAACTTTCCTCTTCATTGCTCCTTGTTGTTCAGTCNTAATATGCATTTACATACAATCAAATTGTTTTCTTTTCTAACTTATAATTGAACAGTTTGTCAATGAAACACTTGTAGCATTAAATGACTAAAATAATCTGTTTTTCTTTTTGCTTCAATTTTTTTTATGAACTGGTTTTAGCAACTTGATTGATTTCCATTATGAACTTTCCTCTTCATTGCTCCTTGTTGTTCAGTCACAGTTAAGCAAAGGACATGATGCAAATTCATTTGTTTTTAACCAATTGAAAATAAAGCAAAATGCATAATTCTATAAAATGATAGATTGGATGGCCCTGTCAATATGCTGATTATTAATTGAGATGAAACTAAACATTTAAAGATGATAAAATTAAACATACCAGAACTTGAGTTCAAGGGAATGGTGCATAACATAATCAAATCAGTATAAAATATTTAAAACATTATACATAGTTAAATGTGCCTAATAATAACTAAGATCATATATTTTTCTCTATAAAAAGTTGCAATTCAACATTTGTAATTCTACAAGATATCAACTGGCCAGTCTGGCACACATATTACAATTTGAGTTAATTCTTTTGTGAACTTTGTTTATTAAGTCTTTAATATCTGCAAAGACTTATACCTATCTATTTGAAAGAAATGATAAAAGATTTAGATAAAAACTATTCCATATTTTTTATTATTCATAGTACAATTTTTGTTTGTATTTATTTCAATTGCCAACTTTCTAACATTAGAAATTTCAAAACTAACTTGCAACACGGAAATAATCTTGGTTTTTAAAAAAGTGCATGTTCTCTTTAAATTTTTAGAATTTTATGCTTAGTTATATATATTTGTGCACATTGAATTCTGTTCTTAACAGTTTTAATCTTTTTCAGGGCTACACAGAAAGAGTTGGCTGCTATAGCTTCGTTGGTGGAGCACAATGTCAAGCGAGCACAGGAGGCTTCTGAATGCTTAGATTTGGATGAGATGTTTTCTTTCCTTAGTGATGTTCAAGAAACCAAACCTAATGTACAAGACTTTGTGTCTGAAATCGGGCAACAAATGGAGGCCCTTCTTCAAGATGTTGAAGAGGAGGTAAAACTGCTAAGTCTTTTAGTTTATACAAACTTATAAATGAGTTAGTTTAAAAAATTAGCAATCATATTAAGTTTAAATTAGTTAAAGTCGACATCAGATGACATAAAAATTGTCTAGACTTGACATGAAAATTGAAACTCGCCACAAGCCATGTGGTGAGTCGACAGAAACAAGTGTCGACTTAAATTAAATCAACAACCAGTCACTTTTCTCATCACTTTTTAAGAAATTCATTTAATAATGAGAGTACATCGATGAAAAAAAAAAACTTTGGAAAACTGATTTTTTATTAAAATGTCCATTTAAAATTTGGATCTTTCAGAATCCATCAATTTGTGGTGGAAAAATTCATGTGGAAGGAGAGTTCTTTAAAAATTCACATGTTTCATAGTTGTTATGTGTACCTTAAATATATATTTTTGGGGAAAAAAAATTATTTGAAAACAGAAAAAATTTAATAAATCTATCATTGAAAATATCTAGGTTTCTTTCCAATTTTATATAAGTTAATATATTAATAATTTATTTTGTATAGTTCTTCTGTTATTGATTTTGTGTTTCACAATACGTTTTAATTTTTTTTATAGGATAACAATAGTCTAATATCTGCAGAAGATCAGGTGAGGACTCCAGAAGCTTCACCTAGTCCTCTGCCTCCACCAAATCTCTCTAGTCCTATCACACCTGCTGCACCATATTCTCCTATAGGGTCTCCAACTGTTGCTTCAGACAAAGGTGATTCCCCATCCCCTTTACCACCACCTATGTCTCCACTAGGATTAGTAAATGGAAACGCACAGCGATCCCCATCAACAGCAAGAAAAACTGTTCAGTCACCTTCACAAGGAATGCCTAATAGGGATCGACATACATCTGGACGAGCTACACCTGTAATTTCTTTTATATTAGTTATATGATATTATTATAAATTTAAATACATAATTAATTGAACCTCGATCAATCTTTTCTCAAGGTGCTATTAGCTACACAGGGTGCGTAGCGTTTTTAAAAAGTGCTTAAAGGTGCTTATTTTTGATTTATGTTTTTTAAAAAGCCCTTAAAGGTGCTTTTTTTATTCTGGGTTTGTAAAAAGTGCTTAGTTTTCTATCTTTTAAAAACAGATTTTTTTCTTTGCCGTGTCGATTGTTGTTCTAAATAACGAAAAATGCATGATTTTAGCAATTTTCTCTGCAATATTTATCAGAAACTAGTTATTTTATCATGATTATGTAATGTTTTTGAATTTTATCGATCTTGTGTTTATAAATTAAGAAATTTTAACAATAGAAAAAAATAATTTTTATTACTGTGCAGATCCTAATTATGATTTTTTTTTTGGAAAGTGCTTAAAAATATTTTGTGAGTGATTAAAAGGTGCTTATTTTTTGCTGAAAAATCTGGCTATGCACCCTGTTACAGATGATAGATACGGTAAAATGACGAATGCAAGTCAACTTGAAATAATGAACAATGACTTAAAAATGTTTGAAAAATTATAAAAATGTAATGGATTTAAAAATAAGTACTTTAATAATTAGTCTAAAAAATTATGCAGTTAATGCAAAAATTTTGATGATGCAAAAAAGGATAAATAGAACATATTTACTTATTTAAAATATTTGTAAAATTCTGTTTGAAGACAATCTTTATTTCCTAGTGCAAGCAATAAATTTTTGACATTCATAGCAGATAGCTGATCATTTCCAGTAAGTTCCTATGAATTCAGAAAGTTTCTTATTGTTTTAAAGTCTTAGAGACTTGGTTCTGGCTAATTCCATTGTCTTCACCGGTATTACATTGCATTTCATTAGCTTCTGCTATTATTTCTTGAATTGACAACATCACAAGTTTCAACTTTTTCATCAACTGATGCATCAACATCAAATGTGATGTTTGAGGCGTTTTCTCCTTAATGTGAAAATTCTTCAATTTCTTCTTTATCATTAACATCAGGAATTAGCTTCAATACTTTTAGAAAATGTGAGTAGAATTTCTGAATAGAGGCAGGAATTTGCTATCTTCAAAAACCATCTAAACGGGCATTATTAACATTATGAGATAGCATTTATGACGGGACCGTTAAAATAAGACAATTCATACAGGAATGATAAATTGATGTTTGTCTACAATAAACGTTAAAAAAATTTTCTCGTCATAGACTTTTCTTAAAATTTTTCAATAAGTGATATTCATTAAGTGATTTCAATAAGTGATAAGTTTAATTTTATTTTACATTTAAAATATTGATGTTATTTTTTTTTTTTGAAAATCTAATTGCTATCCTAATTTTTGAAACTAGACACTGCTTAACTACTTATCTGCCTTCTTATAAAAAAAAAGTTTATCTTGTTAATGATTTTTGAAATCTTGTAAATTTCCAATCTCTTAAGAAACTAGATTTCTTTAAAAAAAAAAACAAACAATACTATTTCTGAGAAAGCTTAAAATGTAATATATGTAAAGGTAAGATATTTAATACAGACACTGTTATTAAAAAATTTTACTTATTTAAAATGCATGAAAAATGTTTATTTATAGTAGAGCAAATTTTGTAATCACTTTATAATTTTTACTTTGCAGGAAGATGGTCAAATGAAAGGAAATAAGCGGATGCATATGGTTGATCCTGATAATCCAGAGAGAGAACTAAGGTAAAAACTATTTATTTCTAATGATGTATTTTGTAGCTTTCTACCAGAAAAATTACCAAATTTTCATGAAATTCTTTGTATCATGCCTCAAATGGTCTTGATATAATAGGTAATTAAAACATAATTCAGTGAAACCTCCAAGTAGACATGGAATTATTTCCATAGACTTTGTGTTGAAGAGAACTTTTAGAAGGGACCATCAAAGCCTCTTCCATCAGCCTTTGCACCAAATGTGGAAATGGTCAAATATGGAATTATGAAAAAATATTAAAACAAAAAATATAAACAAAACAAGGGAGGCAACAAACAAAACAAAACTAGGGAGACTTTAGAGTGGGCACTTTTGAGCATTCAAAACATGTTGACTTTTTCCACCTTTATAATTTTTGAAGCAAATGAAGTTTTTTTTTTACATTATCAAGCATGCTCTCTCTTTGCACAAGTTTCTTGAGATGATTCATTTAATGAATTAACTTTGAATAATTAAACTTCAAATAATTGCTTTTAGTTTACCACTTTAAATAATTGTTTAAAATTTTAAAGCTCAGGAAATGAGATGAAATTTAGAAATTCAAAAATTTAGTTTCTAAAGCAACTGTTTAAAAAAATTTCAAATTTTACTACACTTGGTTTTTTTAAATTTTATTAAAATCTCTAATCTATTATTAGACAATTATTAATAAGAATGTTCCAACTTTTTATCTTACAATGTTTACTTCATTTGGTTTTGGGGGGAAAAAGTATAACTTGTAGCATTTATTATCTAACTCAGTAGAATCTGATTGTGAATATAAAACAAAATTGAATGCATTATTTTTGAATATTTAAAATAACAATTTTAGCCAACCAGCCTGTGTAGGGCTCAGGGAACTGGCCTTGCATCAGAAGGGTTCTGATTTCGAATCCTGGGCAAGACATGGATGTTCTTTCATTTTTTGTGCTATCTGTCCTTACTCTGGGATCAACGTTGACCCACTTAATATGGTGCCCCTGGAAAAGTGGCCAACAAATCTGCCCTTCAACTGCCTGTATGACGTAGATCACTCCCCAGGCAGCCATTGGAAAAAAAAAACAATTTTAGATATTCAAAATGGGACCTGCAAAAGTAAACTCAGTGTACCACATTTTCATGAGTTGAAAAGAAAATTAGGTTACAACTCAAAAAGACTCATTTTACAATACAGCAAATATAAACTTTTGTTTGAAAATCAAAAGTAGAAAGGCTTTAGATATTTTTTTTTGTGCAATATGTGTCATTAATTGCTATGAATTGATTACTTGATTATTTTATACTCATTAAACATTTTCAATACTCACTATGTTAAAGCCCAAATTCGTACAGATTAATTTCTGACATTATTTTTTGCCAGTATGTGATCAATCATACTTTTGATAATAACATTTAAAATGGAGTACCTTGATCTTTAACCTTTCCTCATTGATTAATTTTAAATTTTTAACAGGATGATCACTGATCAGCTCTCTCACATTATCTTTATCCGCTGGCCAAACACTATACGTACAACATGTTTTTTAAAACTTTCTTTAGCTACAATTTCCCCCTTAATACTAACAATAGTAGAGAATTCATGGACTCTTAATTAGTTCATCTAGAATAAATACACAACTTTTCAGCTGTGTTCAAAGGTAATTTTAATCAATGTAAATGTTCTTTTTAAAATAACTATTTTTCTATAATATTGCTTTTTATGTTTACTCAAAGAAAATTATTTAAGAAATTTTTTTTTTTTGAAATCTTTCTTTTCAAATTTATAATTTCAAACATTATTTAAATAAAATTTAAAATATTTTGTATATTCTAAGAAAAAAATTATTTTTTTTACAATAATCTAATAGCNCTTTTATGCTCCAGGCAGATGACGTAAGCCGAGTGCAGCGCCACTAATTTGCATATTGCAATTTTACTCAGCTACTCTTAGTGGACAACATATGCAAATTTTGCACGGTTTGGCTTACTTTTGAAAGAGTTATCGCTATTTTTGTGATTTTTCCTTAATTTATGATAACCAGTGTATGTAAAGGTAAAATATTTAATACAGACAATGTTATTAAAAAATTTAACTTATTTAAAATGTATGAAAAATGTTTATTTATAGTAGAGCAAATTTTTTAATCACTTTTTAATTTTTACTTTGCAGGAAGATGGTCAAATGAAAGGAAATAAGCGGATGCATATGGTTGATCCTGATAATCCGGAGAGAGAACTAAGGTAAAAACTATTTCTTCCTAATGATGTATTTTGCAGCTTTCTACTAGAAAAATTGTCAAATTTTCATGAAATTCATTGAATCACGCCTCAAATGGTCATGATATAATAGATAATTAAAACAATTCAGTGAAACCTCCAAGAAGGCACGGAATTTTTTCCATAGACTTTGTGTTAAAGAGAACTTTCAGAAGAGACCATCAAAGCCTCTCCCAGCGACTGGGCTAGCCTTTGCACCAAATGTAGAAATGGTCAAATATGGAAACATGAAAAAATATTAAAACGAAAAATATAAACTAATCAAGAGAGACAACAAACAAAACGAAACTAGGGAGACTTTAGAGTGGGCACTTTTGAGCATTCAAAACGTGTTGACTTTTTCCACCTTTATAATTTTTGAAGCAAATAAATTTTTTTTTTTACATTATCAAGCATGCTCTCTCTTTGCTCCTAGTTTCTTGAGAATATTCATTTAATGAATTAACTTTGAATAATTACACTTTACATAATTGCTTTTAGTTTAACACTTTAAATAATTGTTAAAATTTTAAAGCTCCGGAAATGAAATTTTGAAATTCAAAAATTTATTTTCTGAAACAACTGTATAAAAAAATGTCAAATTTTACTAAGCTTGTTTTTTTTTCAATTGTTTTTTATTAAGATCTCTTATCTATTATTTGATAATTATAAATAAGAATGTTCCAACTTTTTATCTTACAATGTTTACTTCATTTGTTTTTTTTTGGGGGGGGGGGAAGGGAAGTATAACTTGTAGCATTTATTATCTAACTCAGTAGAACCTGATTGTGAATATAAAACAAAATTGAATGTATTATTTTTGAATATTTAAAATAACAATTTTAGCCAACCGGTATGTGTGGGGATTAGGGAACTGGCCTTGCATCAGAAAGGTTCTGGGTTCGAATCCTGGGCAAGACATGGATGTTCTTTCATTTTTTGTACTATCTGTCTTTACTCTGGGAGTAAAGTCTGTCGTTACTAAATAATTATTAATTTAATAATCATTATTAAATTGTCTATTTAATTGTTTTATTAAAAAGTTTATTTGCTAATATTGCCCTTTTTGTTTTCTTTTCTAATTTGAAAATATAAATCTTCTAATTTAAAAATATGAAATAATAGCAAAGTTTTTAAATTAAAATTTAAAAAATTAATTTTTTACTTTGTCTCAAATGAAATCAAGAAAATATCGGACATTGGCCGGAACATCGTTGCCACTTCGCGATCTGGCCGGCCAATTCTCAAAATCAGGAAAATTTTGGACTTTGGCCGACTTTGGACTTTGGCCATAACATATATATATATATTGATAGATAGATAGATAGAATTTCGCATCTTTTCCTATCTTAAACCTTTTTATTTGCTGTTGCAGCAAATATCTATGTAACATATCTTATGCTATGATGTTATTTAATTCAGTGTTTATAATTCCATTCAGTTCTTAACCAAAATATTTTATTTAAAATACTATTTTAGTTTGAAAGTGTATTATCTACATTACTTATGATTTATTATGATTATATAATTTATTTACCCATACAATTGTTTATAGGCGAAAACAGCGTGTTGAGAAGAGGCTGATTGAGAGGGAGGCCGAAGAAAAAGTAAATGGTGATGAGGATGACAACTATTTCGATATGATTGAGTTTGCAGAGAAATATTTTAACTGTCATATGAGGGAACACGGAGGAACAGTTATGCGTACTCTCACCAGGAGGCGAAAGTCTTCCGGTGATATGATTCCCAAGTATGAAATGGTTACTTTCACTCGCAATAGCTCCATACCCACCTCTCATGTACATATGTATGATCCTGAAAATATCCAACTTTCTTGTACTATTTTCAAGGTAATTTTTTATCACTAATATAATATTCAATGTGTTGTCAATTTTAGTTACTTTTTAGAATTTAATTTTGAGTCATTCTATTCGAAACTTTGCTTTAATTTTTTTTTTATTATTTTACTTTAAAACAAGATCCATCAGCTTGTGAATTGTTTTTTATATCAACTATTATTAAATTGATATTTCTCGAAAATAAATGTTATAGAAATTAGAAATAATCATCAAAATTTATAAAAAAAATCCATTGACCAAATACTGAAAAAAAAACTTACTTTTTCAAAAGAAGCTACAACAGACAATAAAAATCTATAACAAAATACTTTACCAACAATAAAAAATTATAATAACAATAAACAAACTTCTGTAACAATATATGACTGTATATGACTGTTTTACAATATCAATGAGCAAATTATAACAACAATAAAAAATTGTGTGTACAATAAAAATATTTAACAACAATGAGTTTATATTTTTTATCTTGAAGAATAATTTGTTTTTTTTTTATATTATGTATGCTGTTACAACAACAATAAACTAGCTATAACAACAATAAACTAACCATAACAACAATAGATAAGCTATAACAATTATAAAAAAAAAAACTATTACATCAATAAAAAACTATTATTGTAAAAAAACTATAACAGCTATGTATGAATATTTTTCAATTGTATTGAAATGTTTTTCTTTTAAAAAGATGTATGTCGGAAGAACAACAATAAGGAAACTATTAAATATTATACTATTAAATATACTATACTATAATATATTATACTATTAAATATACTATACTATAATATATTATACTATTAAATATTAATAAAACTATTAAATATTAAAATCCCTAACCACAATGCATGAAAATTTTTCACTAATATTGAAAAGTTTTTTTTTATTGGACATATGCTATGACAGTATTACAGTAACAATAAACCAACTATAGCAACAATATAAATACTTTTCAATGGTAAAGTTCATCTTCTTCATAGGATGTATGCCGTTATCTTCGTGGGGACCATAAAGCAGCTGAAGCAGAAGTTCAAGCTATTCAGTCTATTGTGGGCTATGGCATTGATCGAGAAGAACTAAGAGATGAAATATTGGTTCAACTCGTGCGCCAGTCTACTAACAACCCTTGCCGGGAATCTACCATCCGAGCTTGGCTTTTGATGGCATTGTGTGTGGTGGCTTTTTACCCGAGTAAAACTTTTAACAAGGTATAATCACAGAATCAAATCAAGGCATATTTTCTATAATTCTTGATATCTTATCAAAGTTTTTTTTAATTAATATTATTAACAAATAATGTTTTTAAAAATGAGTTTTTTTCCCTTTAGTATTACAATAGTTTTTTGAGGAAAAATCTTCGAGGAGATAATACTATTGCAAGATATGCTCAGTGGTGTTTAGATCACATTCATAGCACTAAAGTTACCCCTCGAAAAATGCCTCCATCTTCCTTAGAAATTAGTGTAAGTAATAGTTTTCTTTTGATATTATATTTCTATGAAATGGTTTGATTATTTTAAATTATTTTTGTTGATATTAGTTCTTATGGGTATGTGGATTAATTATGATTTATTCATAGTTTTTGTAGGTTCATTTTGCTACTTCATTTTTTAAATAAAAACATTCTAATTTTATAGTATCAAAAGAAAGTTTATCAATAATGTAGTACTTAATTTGGAACATTATTGCTTTTGCCCTTTTATAAAAAAAAATTCGTACCAAGTACCTTTATTGTGAATATTATGTTTGAATTTTAAATGTTTTCATAAATATTAGGTTCTATTAAATTTAATTATGCAAAAAATTAGGAAACGGATATTTATAAAATAAAAAATAGTCATGAGGGTTTCATTTAATTTTCGTCCAATAACTTTTTGGTTGGAAATTCCTCATTGGAAATTAGTTTTACTAACATTTTGAAAGATTTTGTAATTAAGGGTTTTTTTCTCTTTGAAAATATTTTCATTTCATGTAAAACAAGCAATAAAATAATAACTATGTTATACTGGCAGAATAATAACTGAAATATGTGCACCTTGTGAATCAGTTAAAAGTTTTTGACTCTTCCTTTGCAAAATTATTGAATGTTTCTGTTAACATTTGACATAGATCAAATAGCAAAGTTTAATTACGTAAAATTGAGGTAATTTTAACTACAATGGATATTGGTGTTACGCCTCAAATGATCTAAACTGAAATTTAAGTTAGTTCTGGCCAATTCTGATTTTGCTGTGTTTTGATGTGATACTTATGACTTTGAGAAATAAAAATTCATATGAATATTTTTTTAAATTTTTAATTTGTGTTTCTTACATTACATGCATTTTTTACAATATATTGTAATTAGAAATTTTAAAAAATGAAAATTTAGCTTTAAAGTTTTTAAGTTTTTTATATGAACTTTTTATTACTCATTGAGGAATATTTATGTACATGTTTTTTATCAGCCATAGCTAAATAATATTTTTCACTTTGAGTTAAAAAAAATATCATATTGTTCGGTTTTTGTTTAATTCCTGATGGAACTGTTATTATTTATTCTAAATATGAATGCTGCTTGCTTTTTAGATTGTTTATATTTTCTGTATAGCGTCCATATACTAAGAAAATATTAGGTACTTTATCAAAACTTTAAATAGACACCAACGTAAAAGCAAACTATTTATGTGTTACATAAGCCTATTTTTGTAGCTGTTTTTCCCTCAAAGAAAGCAACATTATCAAAGAGTGATTGTCTGTCCTTTGATTGCAACCTGGGACAGTCTATTTTATTTAAACAAACAAAAAAATCTATTCTTCAAAGCTGGGTACAACAACACAATTATATTTCTAGAAAATTATTGAAATATTACTTTAGCATAACAGTTGTTCTTTATCAAAAGAACAAAAAATTTCCTAATTTTAAATCTTGACCTGCATTTTGATCCTCAATGTATTAAATTTTTTTTAGGCTGTACGAAATCTTGGTAACTTAGTCTGCAGATTTTATTTCATGGATGGACGAACAAAAGCTATCGATGTTCAGCCTTCAGATACTGCAATGGATGCCATGCAACAGCTAGCTATTAAAACAGGATTGCGAAGTTTAGATGGCTGGGCTCTCTATGAGGTTGATAATTAGTATTATTCATTATATTACAGTACAGAACCCATTTTTTAAACAAAATTTTTTTTCCCTTATAAGATTTTAGGATTTTTCTTTCTTTTTTGAAAGATGTTCACCTTACCATCATTTTGGAAATAATCGTTAGTGTATTACTTCATCATTTTTTCTTCTTTTTAAGATTATTTCCCCAAAAAAAATTTTTTTTAGTTGGGTTTAACAATAAAAAAACGGCTTTTTGTAGCGATTCAGAAAACCGGAAAAATCAGTTATCCGGAATAGGGATGGTCCCGATCGTTCCGGATAATCGGTTCCCTACTGTATAAATATTTAAAACTTTTTATGTTCTATATTAACAACTTTTTGAATTTTAAAGGTGTAATTATGTAGTTTAGTCTATTTTATTTTATATTTAAATTTTTCATTTTGCAGAGTACTCCTGAGTATGAACATGTTATTAAAGGATATGAATACCTTGCAGACATTATTTCTAATTGGGAATTGTAAGTTATATACTATGTATTATTACTATACATACTACTATATATTGCAATTTTTTCTTGAAACTATAACTTTCACTTGTGGATTATGTTTTTTATTTATTTATCTATTTTGTAATGATACTTGGAGTGCTTTATTATAAGCAGAAGCAGTGCTGTATTACCCATTAGGCCATGGCCTGGGGCCCCCAATGATTAGGGCCCCCTTAAAAGGGATTTTTTGAAAATAAATTTCAAAAATTAAGAAAAACAATGATTTAAAAAAAAAATCAATTTCAAATCTATATTAAAATATTTTCAAAATGTTATGATTATTTTTTAGTTCTAATTTAAACAAAATAAAGTAAAATTTAATTTAGTATTACATTATTTTAATTTTAAATATGCTTTCTTAAATGAAAAGATATATAAATACTTTTATATTTGAATAAATAAAAATATAAGAGAAAAACAACTTGATCGAAGGGCCCCAAAAATTTGAATGGCCTTGGGCCCCACGTATGCTTAATCCGGCCCATGAGCAGAAGAAAATGTTTTAGGATATTTCAGACAATTTAAAAATATCTCTTTCAGAATATTGAAAATATCAAGAAATTGTTTACAAATAAATTGTTTATTAGAAAGAAAAAAAATAATTATTGGCTTAGTAAATAAATTATTTGCAACTCATACATAGCATGATGTGCTCTTAAGTTCGCAAATAGAAAGTATGACTTAATATATTCTTCCACTTGGCTCTTATATAATTTATTACCAGTTATTTATTCTTTGTATTATTCACTAGTACATGGTGTTAAAAAAAAATTTCTGATAATGTATGTAGATGCTTTATCTGTGTTTTATTTTAAATTGTAATTATAGATTGTAAAGTTCCTTTTATTTTTTTTATGNTATTCAGATACTATATATATATATATATATATATATAGATTATATATATATACTTAATTAATTAATCATGGAAGTTAATTAAATTCTCTGAGCACAACTGTGGATAGTATTTCTATTAGTTTTTAAGAGCATATGAAACTTACATTGTGTGTATTGATTTAAATTAATATTACTTTTGTATTCGATAAAATATTTTAAATAAATGATGTAAATAAATTTATTTTTCTATGTTTTACCAACTAAGTGTAGATTAATTATTTTATTATCTTTTAAGAAATATTTAGGTCCTAATTTTTAAAAATGCAGATTGCAATCAAAAACTATTATAAGTCACATTTTTGTTTGATATTTTAATTTATTTAAAATCAAACTTTTTCTTGACTTCTTTTAGTTTAAATATTTATGCAGTTTAATCAGGAATATCAACGCGTTATCACTTTATTAGGATTATATACCTTATATAGAATTGTAATAAAATATTCTAAATTATCATGGAAGAGTTGGAATTTTAAGATGATTAAATTAATTTGTTTTTCTTTAAATAAGTATTAGAAGTAGTCACATATTTCAGTTGTATAATTGAAAGTATCCCTCCAATAAAGTTACATTGTTTGGTTGTACTAAAAATTTTTTTTAATTGTATATTTCACTAATGGTGATTAAATTGTCCTCTTTGCATTGAATCTTTTTTTCTTGATCTAATAATTATGAAACATTAGTTCAAGTGATTTTTTTATTTATAAAACATAATAATTTTTTTAAAAACTATGCAACATTTTTGTAATAATTTTTTATAGGTGCAATTTGTAAAAGTTGATTTATCCCACTGACGGTTTAGCAAAAGGGTAAGATTGGGAGAATGTTTCTCCCCGATACACTATTTCTCTATCTAATAACATAGAAAAACCGGTTTTGCTATGAGGTATAAACTGCTGGTTAAAATACGACTTTACGTGCAGAACCGTCAGTGGGTTAACTAATGTCAATGATTTTTGTGCTGAACTTTTACCTGTATCACATCTATTATCTCTTTATCATTAGGTTTATCTCAATTTATGTTTAGAATTATGTAATATTTTAAGTTTGTGCTGTTTTTTGCTCCTTAACTTACATATTCTTCAACTAAATATGCTTTCATAAATTGTTTAAGTATTTTATATTATTATTACTTTTAATGTTACTATAAATTTCTTCTAAGCTAAATATCAACCATATAAAACGCTTCATAAATATTTATCATTTAATTCTTTAGATATGCTGAAGTTGGTAACTTCTTATGCACCAGAATAAGAAACAAAAGAAGGGATGTTGATTGGATACCTGACTTATCTGAAGCTCACAAAGTAAATATATTTCCCTCTTGAAAGAGTTTCACTTTCTGCTTATTATTTTAAAATTATGTATAAATTATTATTTCTTTCTCATTATTAAGCCTATCAGAGTTTTTCACTATGTCTCACTATTACCCCTTCATTAAAACCATAACCTATCTACCATTTTGTTTACCTTTAAAATATATATGCTGCAATTCATATTAATGAAATGAAAAATTCTGATGTATTTTCAATTAAGACATTATTTTAACGAAGTTTGTTGTTTTAAGTTATAATTTTTTTATAACATTACATTCAAATATTGCTAATGGATTTCAAATATTACTAATAAAAGTTCTTGAACTTTAAATTTCTGAGGAAATTATATTTCCTCGGAATTCACTCAAAAAGACATGGACAGCTTATATAACTCTGTTGTTCTTTTGAACAATATCTTGCTTTTTTAAAATAAATAAATAAATAATATTGATAATTAAATCTCTTTGTAACAATAAAAAATTAACAATCATTAGTTCCTAAGAATAATTAGTTTTCATTTAATTTTTTAAGTTCTATTCCAATTCAAAGGTAAGTTTTCTGTTTCAAAATTTCTGTTGAAAGTGTGATTTGTAAATTTTTATTTTCTGTTGAATATAATCTTTTTATTTCTTTAATAAAAAAATGTTTAATTTTGAGCTAATCTTATTTGTTTTCATTTGTATTGAGCTTGATAATTAATTATTTAAATGTAGTGATGTAAAGCAATATTTTTTTTTCAATCTAGATTTATGGCAGTGGAAAATCTGAGCTTGTGGCTAAAGTTTGGTATCTATCGGTAGTTATGCAGTATCCATTATATGGAACAACCCTGTTTCCAGTTACTTACAAGGGCTACTTATCTTATGGTAAAATTTTATTTAATTTATGTTTATTCTAACTGATTTTGGCATTACTTATATTATGAGAAATGATTTTTTAAAATCTTGTGTTTGTTTAATTGAAGTGTTTGGTTAATGCACAATGTATACTTAAAAAGTGCAGAATCTTATTTTAAAAATCTATAAATCTATAAACTTTTTTATTATATATATAAATGTGCTTTTTTTAATATTTGCCTTAAATACAAAATACAAAATTAAATAACTTTTTATAATAAGAATCATGATTTTGTTATTATATTTGAATGTGGTTAATTTCTGGATTGATAAATTTTGAAAGGCAAAACAAATACCATTATCATTTACAACATGTCATACAATTTATCTTGTGCACATAAATTCTTATCCAATTACAATACTTTTAATTTAAAGTGTCATTTTTGGAAATTCCAAAATATTGAAAAATGTGAAACTGCAAGTGTGCAAGTATGTCGTTCTACACATTTAAAGACACAAGTTCAAGTTCCACACAAGAGGATGAAAGGAATTTTTGTGTCTTTACATATATCTACGCTATATTGAACTTTTTCTTGTCTTATTTTGATACATTATAAATTACCTTATAAAGTCAGCATGCTGCTACTTTTTAAACTGATTATTTTCAATAACAAAATTCTGTATAAGTAAATGAAAATGCCCTATTTTGTCCCTGTGAATTCCCATAGCACGCTATGATAAATTGTTTAATTAATAAAAGATGACTTGATGACTTTTTAAAAAGAAAATTGGAATAAGAATTTAAAGTTTATTGTTAAAATGTTTATTTAAATACCAATTTCTATTTCACTTCTTTCAATTTTTTTTAAATATGTACAAAAATCAAAATTTTTATTTTAGTACTTGATTTTAAAACTGAGCTTTTTTAAAGGTCATAAGCTGTTACTAGGCGTAAGTGCTGAAGGAATATTGATGGTCAATATATCAGACAAAGGCATTTTGAATGCTTATAGATATTGTGATGTTGAATCTGTGATGGTTGATCCAAGTGATGACCTAGTGACCATAAACCTTTTGAAAACCCTACCAGACTCACACAAATGCTTTATATTTGAAACTAGTCAAAAGAATGAAGTTGCTAATTTAATAGCCAGCTATTCACCTGCACATGCAAATTGGTTACGACCCACCTATGAATTGGGATGGAGGGTAAGTCTTTACAAATTTTTAGCTTTTTTTTAGAATAAATAAAAGGAATAAATGTTGATTTTTATTTTATTTAAATTTTTATTTGTATTTTTAAATGTTAGATATTACATATTGAAATGCTTATCTTTATCTACTCAAATGTGCTTCATTCAGGGCTGATTGTACTCTGGAAAAAAATCCGGATTTCCGTTTTTTTTCCCTAACCGTGATCCGGAAGTTTCCGGAGATCGAAGGTTCAGACGTTTCGAAAAAATCATCGATCACAAAAGTTTCCGGAAATCAAATTTACAAAGGTGGAACTTAAAAACAGTGTATTTTATTTGTTTATAAGGGAGAGCCAGAGATATACTTTATAAGCTTACATTCAAGATTAATATTTATTTTTTTACCAGTAAATACTTATTATAATCATAAACTCAAGAAAGAAAGACATATTTGTAAATTTCAATTACTTCTCCAGGTCATCATAGGTATGTGTAAAATTTTAAATATATTTAAAATAAACTAAGAAATATTGAGAAAAAGGAAAAAAACATTGTTTAAATTTTTTTCTAATTTTTCAACTTAAACTTCTTTTTTTTTACTCATGAAATTTTCCGGAATTTTGACTTGGGCTCACAATCACCCACAATCATTATTTAAAACTAAAGCAAAATTTACTTCATTTGATAAAAAATTTTTTTTTTTTACCCGTTTTGATTTTTCAAAAGGATTGAGTGCTTTAAATTGGATTTCGTGGCNTGTTTATAAGGGAGAGCCAGAGATATACTTTATAAGCTTACATTCAAGATTAATATTCATTTTTTTATCAGTAAATACTTATTATAATCATAAACTCAAGAAAGACAGACATATTTGTAAATTTCAATTACTTCTCCAGGTCATCATTGGTATGTGTAAAATTTTAAATATATTTAAAGTAAACTAAGAAATATTGAGAAAAAGGAAAAAACATTGTTTAAATTTTTTTCTAATTTTTCAACTTAAACTTCTTTTTTTTTACTCATGAAATTTTCCGGAATTTTGACTTGGGCTCACAATCACCCACAATCATTATTTAAAACTAAAGCAAAATTTACTTCATTTGATAAAAAATTTTTTTTTTTTACCCGTTTTGATTTTTCAAAAGGATTGAGTGCTTTAAATTGGATTTCGTGGCTTGTTTCAAGCTATTTATTTTAATAATTTATTGGCCATTGTTTAATATTTAGTAAGAAAAATCATCTATTCTGAATTTTACTTATAGATTTTTAAATTTAAGGAATTTTGAAGATACACTGAACTAAATCAGTAAAGTTTTAATACCCTTTTACTCTGGAATATTATTTTTTTTTCATTTTTTTTGTTTCACAATTATGTAATTTTATAATTTCAAAATAAACAATCATTGATACTTTCAAAGTAAATTTAAAAGATAAGCTGTCTTAGGAATCAATAAGTTCATGAAACTCAGTGGCATAATATTTAAAATTTTTAAAGTTGAAATTATGCTTTGTCTTTTAACTGACTTGTAACTATATGTACTTGTAAACTTGTTGCCTAGTCTATCAAACCTTGGCTATCAGACTTACTTGTGAGATATTATAAATTGCTGTGTGGCCAAAATGGTTGAGAATTATACCCTCTTTTACTATTGCCACATACTCTCACCTCAGTTAGGAACTTGAAAAGTAATTGTGAAAAAATGCAAATAATTGTTTAATTTAATGAAACAATGTATCATATTTTTTGCTTGACAGTTAAAAAGCTTGTGTAAATTATTTATTAGGACTGTTTTTTTTTTAATATTTGCTATTTTAATATTTTTATTTCTACAAATGCTTTTAGCTTAAAAAATTTATTATTATTAAACAAAATTTTTTTGTTGTTGTTAAACCAAGCAGGTATAAAATAAATTTGTCGTAGCATTTAGTTATTGTTTCTTATTTTTTCCTCATTCCATTGTTAAAAAAATATAAACAAAAAATACATAATGGTTAGTAACTAAGGTTGAGGATTCAGGTATAAAATAAGATAGTTATTATTTTACGTCATTGCAGTTTTTTTATTTTTTTATCACAAGTTGAGAATTGAAATTAAATATAATCTATTCTAAATGTTTAAAAATATAATGCATTTTTCATTGTTACATTTTTTGTTTACGGAAAAAAGTTTATTATTTTATTTTTGTTAGGTAAAATTGACTTTTGAAGACAGGCAAAAGTTGTATCAAGATGTCGTGAATTGTAGAAGAGCTCTTGTAGATATGTCACTAGTTCGGAAACCTGTAGAAGAAAATGTTGGTTTATTCCGCAGCACTCTAAGGAGGTGAGCTATATGTTCTGAACACAAAATTAAAATACTTTTATCATAAAATTTTGTTCTCAAATGTCTCTTCTGAAATATAAAATTTTGGGGGAAGAAATTACTAAAGCAGCTATAATAGAATTTAAGTTAAGTACTGTTTGGTTTTAATTATCAATATTTTAACTGTATTTCATTTTATGTCCCAGTACTTAACTATTGATTTTTTGAAAATTTTAAAAATGTTTCCATTTTTCCAAATGAAATTTTATTTGTATTGCGTTTAACTTACTATTTGACAAGCATAAAGAAATTTTCAAAAAACTAAAGCTTAAAAGTTTACAATTATTACTGAACATTTTAATTAATTTGTATTTTACTATGCATAAAAATCTAATGATGGTGTCTAAGTTTTCCATTGTTGTCTGTGCATTTTTATTGGCCGGAAAATCATGTGGTAGGATCCAGTTTTTCCTCATTCATTCCCATATTATTTTGATTGTCATCAGCATAAAATTAATAAAAGTAATAAAGTTATTGTTTTTCTCTAAATATTTTTGTATCCCTAATTTAAAGTTGTTTTCTTGTACTGTTATTATGACGCTTTTAATTCAAGAGTTTAAAACTAAGAAAATTCTTGTTTTTTTTTTATTATTATTATAATGTAATTCATTTTAAGATAAAGTTATTTAGAAAGGTAGTCTAATCTTATTAACTGTTTTACAATTATTATTTTTGTTTAAATAACATTAATATACTGTTATAAAGTACTGTGGCAGAGATCTGTTAAATGATTTAGATCATCTTTATGCACAATGAGATGCAAGCAAAAATAGTATTTAATATATCTGCCCATTTGGTAAACAAAAATATTAAATTATGAACTCATAAAATTTGTGTGAACAATATAATGTTATGACAACATAAATGTTATGACAATATAAATGTTATTTTAAAAATTGATTACCTAGAAAAATTGCTTATGTTGAAATATCTAAATATTCTAATTATTTATAATAGTAACAGATAATAATATTTGCAAGTGGGAAGTGGGGGCACAAGCGTAAGCAAACAGAATTACCTTTAGTACATCTATTGAGTGTATAGTACATCTGTACCTTTGCACGTCTGTGAGATTGAGTATTTAGTACATCTATAAAGTGAATAATTTTAACTTTAGTAGAAAAACTGTTTTCTGGAAAAAAAAAACAATTATTGCGAAACAATCATCGGAGTTAGTGAGCAGCAGCGAACAGGGGGATTAGTCCCTTAGTACAATATAATAAGTTCTCAAATTAAAAAAATATAAATAAACTAATTAAAGTGTGCTCTAATTTATCTAAGACAGTTGAATGTTAAGTTAATAATTTTTGAATTATTTTATTATGTTCAACCAATGCATTGCAGTACCTAATGATAAGGCTCTAAAATTTCACTGATTTAGATAAGTATTAACTTTATACACTATCTTTATGTTACTTTATGTTTTGACTTATTTCTAATAACTATAACTAAGTTGTACAATAATATTAATCTCTATAAAAAAATCATCAGGTTTAATAGAGGAAAAATGGAGAAATTGCGTCAAGACTTTGGTGATATTGAAGAGAGCTACAAGTCATTTAGGCACAGTCATTGGGCTTTCAGTAAAGTAGCATTAAATCACAGTCTCAGCAATATAAATGATCCTGAAGATGAAGATACTGCTTTGCATGTATTCTCATCAATACTCGCTTATTCTGGATTGCTGGAGCAAGGTAATTTTTATAATTTTGTTTTTGTAGTAATTTTTGAGGTAAAAAATTTAGTGTTGAAAATAACCATTGTTTCACTGTAATGAATTTATATTCAAATTATATTGGTGAATTCTGAAACTTAATTAAAAAATTGTTTCTAAAATGCTTACGTGAAATTTCTGTTCATCCTAATTGTTTATTTATAATTGTTTATATAAAATATTCTAAATAAATAAAAACTCCAAGAGCTTATATTAAAAATAATTATTTTTAATAAATATTGGAGAGTTATTGTATTACTAGAACAAGGTAATTTTTATATTTTTGTTTTTGTAGTAATTTTTGAGGTAAAATATTCAGTGTTGAAAATAACCATTGTTTCACTGTAATGAATTTATATTTAAATTATATTGGTGAATTCTGAAAATAATTAAAAAATTGTTTCTAAAGTGCTTACGGGAAATTTCTGTTCACATAATTGTTTATTTATAATTGTTTATATAAAATATCCTTAATAAATAAAAGCTCCGAGAGCTTATATTAAAAATAAATATTTTTTAATAAATATTGGAGAGATTGCAAAAGAACCTCCAAAATACAGTACTTTTTCGTGTTCCTTATTTTATAATTTATACTTTTATTTCTATAATATAATAATATCCTATGATTATAAATAACATTTAGATAGCCTCTATACCCATTAAAAACTAAAAAAAATTCTGACTTACTATGTCTAAAATAAAAACTAGGACTTTAAACAATAACTTTGAAAAAATAAATGGTGTAGTAGAGTTGAGTAGCAAATGAATTTAAATATGGTTATCAATTTATATCTGTTTATTCACTTTATTGTCTTAATGTTTGTAGCATGGCATATATATTATAGGCTCATACCATTATAACAAATAGATTTTTTGATGTCATAACAACGTCTTGTATATAAAAAAGTACAAAAAGTGTTATAAATTTTATTGATTCTTAAAACTTTAAGTATATCTGAAGTCTTATTACAGAGGATGCAGAATGGTTAGGAGAAAGGGACCACCTTCAACTTGCTCAATCTGTTCTGGATCGATCTATGAAAAAGGAAGTTCTAATAAATGAATTATTTTTACAACTTATAAAACAAACTACAGATCATCCAGGTAATTAATAAAGTGTTAATATGGTATTTTTTATATTATTATGTGTCTCAACATTTTTGTTCTGTTTCATAATATGAGAGTATATACTTACAATTTGTATGTGTTGCCCATTTAAATGTAATTCACTTTCAATGGCTGAATGCTAATTCTTATATGATTTTGACATTGAGTATAGTTTAAAATTAAGTAAACAGTAAGATGTACTATATGTCTAATTACATTTGCAAATAATCTTACAGTATAGTAACTAAATTAATGGCTAAACTATTTGGAAACAACTAGGTTCTGACGAGGATTATAGAATAAAATAAAATACACACTAAGTTGTTCTTGAATTACATTTTAAAAACAATTTTTTGGATTGAATACAAGTTATTACTTATCCTTTATAGTAACAATTCAGTATTATTCAGCAATTGATGGCTTTGACTATGGAGTACAGCATAAAGTTAAGTACACAATAAGATGTACTACTTTCTAATTACAGTTACAAAAAAGAGCAGCCTATAAAGCATTTATGATATCCCTGATGACTNGGAAAATTTATTAAATTTCGTTCCGGTTTTTTGGTTTAATTTGGTTTTTTGGTTTTCCGGTTTTCTGATTTCCGGATAACGGGTTCTGTACTGTACTTTCTAATTACAGTTACAAAAAAGAGCAGCCTATAAAGCATTTATGGTATCCCTGATGACTTACTGTGGATATTGTTTTATTTTAATTACAATGAAAAATAAGAGTAAAATTATTTGTCTTTTAACACAGTATAGTATCTATATGCATCTTTCGAAAGATTTATGTATCTTATTAACGTAAACAGCGAAAAGGTGAAAGTAGTTATTAATATATACTTACCATTCTATGTTGAATTTATAAATTTCAGAGATAAATTCTTTTTTCTGGGCAGCATTTTATTTGGCTATTCTGTACTATTTGTACTAATCGTACTATTTGTGCAATTTAATGCAAATAATTACACAATACAATAAACTATTATTCCATTATTAACTGTTCTAAAATTGAGTTTTAGCTTTAAATTAAGTATAAATAAGAGTTATAGAATGAAATGAAGTTTTTTGACTGGTTTTGACAAAAAAATATTTCTTAATAAAAAGCTTAATTAAAATTTTAATGTTATGCTTGGTAATCAGATATTCTAAAATTAATAATTTAAGGTAAAGTTGAAAAATGTATAAAATATTTCAAAATAAAGACAAATTTGATCTCAAAAACTGCAAATTTTTATGTCACACTAACAGCTGTACAACAATGGTAATGCATAAATTTAAAGATAATTTTTTTCTTAAATTAACAATGTGACTACCTGTATTTTGAACTAAATTCTTGAAAAATTTTCTAAAAACATAAAATATAATTAGATATATTGTTTAATTTTGAATTTTCAAACAAGAATTCGAAATTTTTTTACTTAAAGCTTGATATAAATAACAAATTCGCATTTAGCTTTTAGTTCAAAATATTGGTAACATTAAACAAAATTTTAAAGAATTCTATTATGAACTTTTTTGTAAAGTGTGTTAGCAATAAAAAATTTCCAATGTTCTTCAGAAAATACATTTGAAATGCAAAAAAAATCTGAAATGTAAAAAAAATTATGGAATTAATTTATCTTAAAAATATAATATCTTTAAATGAAAAAAAGATTTAAACACTCAAAGTATAAGAAAAACTTTTTAGTTTCGTTTTAGGAAATTTACTTCCAGTTTTGGTTTCATCTCTCAGAATTCAAAAAAATTGTAAAAATTTTTTCTATGTCTAAAAATGGGAGAACAATAAGCTCTAATTATTAAAAATTTAATTATTAAAAATTTAAAGGTTTTCTTTAGCTAATGAACTAAAGTTCGTATATGGATAGGAATAATAATAATAAAAGAGCATCAGGCCCACGTCCGAGAGGTTGTGAGTTCCATCCCCCCCGGTCGAAGGTGACTGGTGCACGTTAAATCTGTCGGATCACAAAGTCCTTCATATTCCAATAACAAATCATACCTCTTGGGGTCCTGAATGAGAGATTAATCGTTCTCTGGTTCAGCTCAAAATTACAATCTGTGAATGAATAAATGGATTTATGAATGGATCAGCCTTTAAAACGAGTTGTGACGTGTGTGTGGCTGAAGTCGTAATCTTTGCCATAGATGGCACCACTGAAAAGAAAGAAACGCACTTTCCACCTTAACTTCATTTGGTTTCACCAAACAGGCTTTCTGTTATTGGCAAGTGGTGTTGGAGTGAACCGTGGTTCGATCCCGGCGATGGCTGGTCGATACGAATTCCGCATCCGGCTTGCACCGACCACAATGCTGACGTGAAATATCCACAATGGTAGATGGATCATGGGTTAGAGTCCTCTTGCCGTCAGGCTAACCGTGGGAGGTTCTCATGGTCTTCCTCTCCATGTAGCGCAAATACGGGTTAGTTCCATTAAAAAGTCCTCCACAAAGGCAAAATTTCTCCCAATACTTGATCCAGGAGTTCCCTTGTCTTATGGATTGGGTTCAAAATTACAGGGCTACGAAGTTGAACATTAGTAGTCGTAAACCCAAAATCTGCGTCGGCTGTTCAACGACGGTTATAAAAATTTTAAAAAAGTGGCGTTGGAAACAGCAACAGTCACCTATTTGGATACCTGAGGATTTCCATACATTTCTATATATATTTTGTATGACCAGATAAGAAACATTTTGAAATTTTTTTTGTGGGGTAAAATTATGATTTTGTTATTATGATTGTGTTATAATTGTAACAATTATAGTAAAATACACTACATGTTTGAATACAACTTGCTTTTTAAATATAATAGATGCGAATAGCAGAGTGAACTTGAGACACTGGCAATTGATGGCTCTGGCATGTAGTGTTGCTGCCCCGACGGATAGGCTTATAATAAGTTATCTTCATGCCCATGTAAGGCGATGTTCGATTGATGAAGTAACCGAAGAAGGGCAGTATGCACAGTTCTCACTCAGGGTAACCATTTTCTTTCTTTTTTTCAAAAAATAAGATATTGTATCTCAATTAACAAGTTATATTTTGTCATATAAAGAAGTACCACTATCTGCATGCATAGAATTAATAAGTTAATACATATTTTGTTAATAAGTTTTGCAAGTGACATTTAAAAATCAATAAAAGTTTGTAAATGTTTATGACTATTGTTAATTTATAGAAGTATTTCTTATAATGGAGAAATGTTTATTTCCTGATAAAGTCTAAAGAATTTTTGTCATAAAAAGAAAAAATATTTGTTTAATTGTCCAAAATTTTTGTTTATGGATAGTTGACCATGTAAAGTTAAGAGCAGATGGCGCTGGGGGGTCGAGATTCGCCGTAAGACTTTCGGGTTACTATTTCAGACTTATTTTTACGCCTAAGATTGAAAAAAACACACCATCCAATATTATACCTGTAGTGTTTTTAATGTAACGCGTTCTTTCAATATAACTTTCGACAACACAAACAACAAATAATTTCGGAAGATTAATTAAACTTGCTAAGATGCTACTCACAATAGAAAAAACGGCACTATTTTACACAAATATAGCCAAATAAGGGATAACACTCAAAATATGGTAAACCTTACACTTTATATGTGCTGTGATATTAATTTTGTTAAGCTTGTTCTAGAGTAATGACCTGTTATAATTTATAAATTGCAGAAAACTCTTATGAATAGTAAAATTACTCTTAAATTTAAACATAAATCACAGTAATAAAACTTCCTAGAATATTAAGCTTGTTCACACTTTGCCTCGTAAACATAACATAAGCAGAGAGATACACCGGAAGTTTTCTAAATTTTTTCTGGTTTTAGGAAACTTGTTATTGCTTATGTTCAGTCATCCATCCATAGTTGTTTAAGATTTCGGTACTTTATTATAATTTTATCCGTCATTAAAATAAGAAATATCGGTAATTATATTGATATTTTTTCTGCACATGAATTTATCTGTGATTCTGTCTCATGGAATTATATCTATACAGAAAACTGCTATTTGTATTTTTATTTAACTGTTGTCTCATACTTTTATTTTGATTAACATTAACCAGAAAGGAAATATCTTTTACGTTTAAATACATAAATTTTTTATGATGATGTGATGAAGCTTTACATAAGTTTTGCTGTTCATCATCATCATAAACTATGATCATTTCAATAATATCCTCAAGGGGTTTATATTTTTAATATTTTATTATCATTAAAATAAGAAATATCAATAATTATATTAATATTTCTTTTACACATAAATTTATCTGCAATTCTGTCTCATAGAATTATATCTATACAAGAATACTGCTGTTTGTATTTTTATTTAACTGTTGTCATACTTTTATTTTGATTTACACATATCAGATTGGAAATATCTTTTTATTTAATAGCATAAATTTTGTGATTATGTGATGAAGCTTTCCATGGGTTCTGCTGTTCATCATTGTCATAAACTGTGATCATTTTATATTTTTAGAATAAGTATGCTCCATAACCCTGAGGTGTCTATGTGGAGCTTATTCCAATTGTATGTTTCTTAACTCTTCTTATCCCCCTTGTACCCTTATTGCTACCCTCTATTTTTTTTTTATTTTTCTGCGCAATTTAGTTTCAAATTTGAGTTTTTAATTTTGTTTTACTTGCATAAGTAATACCCCACGTCTTTTTTCTTTCTTGTTTTGTGTTCTTTACAGAATTGACGATCGAAATGGGCTGCAGGTGGCGTAGAGCAGAACTCTTTTCCTATGGCAACAGTTCACATGCTTTCCCCATTAGCGTGTGGAAAGTCATAGAGGAAGGAAGTCCGTTAGTTTCTCTCTGGATTTTCATATAGATTAAAATCTTTTAACTTGAAAAACTATATGGAACTGAAAACTACATTAAACATAGTTCTAAATAAAAGTATCGTGGAAATTTTAAGAAATATTTTTATTATATAAAAAGGAAAAATATTAAGAAAAGGGAAAATATCGTAGTACATTCCTATACAACTGAAAAAAGGAGGAGAGGGAAGGGAGAAGGGCTAAAGGCATGAAACCGGTCTCTCCCCAGATGGCGTATTCGAGTGTTGCGATCGCGAATAGCCATAGTTAGGGTCTTGTGCCATGAACCGCACTTTTAAAACCATTTTTTAATAAGTATTTTTTTAGAAATGAAATATCTTATTTTTTGTATAAAAATATTTAATGTATTTAAAATTATAATAAATTAAAATAAAAATATTTAAAATTGATCTTTAATCTTAATCATGAGATCTAAATCATGTCTTTAAAATTGATATGATTCATGCTTCTCTTCATGGTATAGTCTTACATCTGTATTGTTATTAGTCCTTTTCAATAACTATATACTATCTTTTTATTTCAATTTAGGTTTTTTAAAATTCCCATGTTTTTTTAAATGAAACCTTCTATTTTTAGTGCCTCATGAGGTCTCTTGAGACACATGGTAGGCGTTGGCCACCATCTAAGCAAGAGATAGGGTGCACCATCAGCAGGAGGCCCGTGCATGCTAGAATATATTTTCTAGATGGACAATTCCAGCCTGTTGAGTTTGACCCATGTGCCTCAATGGGAGAGGTATAGCATTTATTTTTTGAGAATTCTGAAATTTTAGTTCTTTTATTGTAATTTATAATTAATAACATTTAATGGATTCTTTATTTCAGGTTATGGAAATGGTGCGAGCCAAAATTGATTTACGCCCTAGAGTTGAAGGTTATGCTCTGTATGAAGTCATAGGAAACAACGGTAAGAAAAATCTTTAAATTGTTGGACTGACTATGCATAACTAATTTTGCGACATTCGTTGTGTGTTTGATAATTAAGCAGTTGATTAGAATCCTGTGGTCTGACCTTGCATTTGAATTAAGCGGTCAGTCAAGCATTTAACTTTGAAGAACCCTTTTTGTAACAATATAAATGAACATCGGATGCGAGATAAGACCTAGGGATCACATTTTCATCCCATAAAATTAACTTTATAAATACTCCGGCAAAAAACTGATAAGTGAAACCAGAACCACAGATTAATGAGCCATCGTAGCTCATATCAGTTACTATAAAGAGTAAGATTGTTTCTGGAATATTCCATATTTTTGTTCAATATTACTGTTTTGTTACTGATAACTTAAAATACAACTTGTTTTCATTTAAATAGTAATTGATTTAATTTTTAAACAAATATTCAAACTTTATTATTAAATGTATTCTTTATTTCCAAGGATATCATCAGCACACTAAAATATTAATATCTGCATGGATTCTTATCTATAAATATAATGCTATCTGGCAAACTGAAACTTCCATTGTTTTTTTTTAAATTAATATAAATATTATTATTATATTTAATTTTATATTTAAACAGTATGCCTTTTGAATGATAAAAGCTGTAATAGTGATGAAATTAGATGCTAATTTGTAAATTCTGATTTTCAATGTTTTTTTTAAAAAAAGAGTAAAATATTTTTTTTTGAAATGTTATAATTTAGAAAGAGCTTTGTTACCTGATGAAAAAATTTGTGATACCATGGCCAAATGGGAGAGATATCAGGAAGGTCAGAGTAAAGTGACTGCTAATCGAAAACAGCATTTCTTTTTATTCAAAGTTAGTATATTTCTTAACACTAATGTCTTAACTTAAGCTGAAAAATTGAAATAATTCATTTTCTAAATTTTTTTTCTCCAGAAACATTTGTTCCTGGATGCCTACATTGACTTTTCTGATCGANAGTTTTTCGTCAGTCCTATCAGATTCGAGTTATCGCGAATTCACTGTATAAGTATTATTATTATATTTAATTTTATATTTAAACAGTATGCCTTTTAAATGATAAAAGCTCTAATAGTGATGAAATTAGATGCTAATTTGTAAATTCTGATTTTCAATGTTTTTTTTTTTTAAAATAGTAAAATATTTTTTTTTGAAATGTTATAATTTAGAAAGAGCTTTGTTACCTGATGAAAAAATTTGTGATACCATGGCCAAATGGGAGAGATATCAGGAAGGTCAGAGTAAAGTGACTGCTAATCGAAAACAGCATTTCTTTTTATTCAAAGTTAGTATATTTCTTAACACTAATGTCTTAACTTAAGCTGAAAAATTGAAATAATTCATTTTCTAAATTTTTTTTCTCCAGAAACATTTGTTCCTGGATGCCTACATTGACTTTTCTGATCGAGTAGAGAAAGAGCTGATCTACCATCAAATTGTTCATAACATTCGACATGACAGATTCCCAGTAACTGAGCAAGAAGCTGTAAGTTACAGTTAATTGAAATGTTTGCTTTAATTTTATTTTAATTCCTTTTTTATTTTTCATCAAAAACATGCAAATTATAATAATCTAAAATATAATAATTCATATAGCTGTTGCTTGTTAAACCATTTAATATTCAGGTTTTATGTATCTCAAAGAAAACCTGGAAACTTAAATATTTCAAGCTAGCTTAAAATGTCTGCATATACTGAGGAAAAATGAAAATGTTTGCTTAAAACCTAGAAAAAGAAGTTAACCTAAAAAAATTAAATTTTTCAAACCTTTTTATTTTTGTAAAGAATTTTTTTTTAATATCATGATTTTTTCATGTAGCTGAAAATTATTAATTTTCCAATGCAGGGTTGAAACTAATATAAAAAATGTATTTCCTGTAATATTTGAATAATTTTTTTATGTTATTACTGCTCAAATGAAGCTTTTGATTTAATTTTTAATCTGAATGTAATATTTTTGATTTTTTTTCAAGATTTGTTGTTTGTTAATAATAAACAATCTTTTGTTTGAAATTAACTAAATTAATAATTTTAATATATACATTTTTAATATATATATATATATTTATGCTTTATGTTTATAAATAATTATATTATCTTTTTATAAAGTTTAATTGTTTTTAGCTTTGCTATTTAATGATGAATTGCTATGCGATGAATTGCTTTATGATTAACTGCTTTATGATGAATTTTTTTATGATGAAATGCTTTATTTAATGATGAATTTAGATGATTAAAAGTTTACAATTTTTGTAGGTTATGTTATGTGCTCTAAAAGCGCAACTAGATGTTGGTGATTGTCAGCAAGGCACTTTAGATTATAAGTAAGTTTCAAGTGTCATATAATTTTACCAGATTTGAAATATAGGAATTTTCAGAAAATTTGTTTGATTTTGATTTTTTATGATTAACTAAAAATTACTTAGTTAAAAAAATTTTTATTAAAAAATATTTTATTAACGAGTAAAATCTATGTATAGTCTTACAAAATTTAATAAAATTTTATCAGGACTTGATGCTGTAAATGGAACCTGTTTTGGAAATTTTCTTACAGTCTGAAATTTGAAAAGTCATGAAATAAAAAAAAAAGATTTTAGAACAAACATAATTTTTAAAAAAAAATATCACTAAATTGTAAAAACATTAATAATCACTGAAAATGTATTGTTTATTTTTCTATAGTCTTACAATTAATATTTAGATTTTGAATTTCTTATTGAAATGAATATTAATGTGCTATGTGTTAATAGTAAAAGTAGTTATAATAATATGTTATTAGTTGAAGTCATCAAATCAAACCAAATGATGTATCTTACTCACTTATTTCGATCAAAAGATTACAATCCCAAAAAGGTTTTGACCTTCAACAAGCCCGGAGGCACTAGAACTGGGAAGACCTCCACTCACATGACTTTGGGCTGTTGTGCCAAGAAGAAACGAGATAATGTGTTACAAATCTCAGATTACTGATTTTTATTTTGTGTTTTAAAAAAGATTAAAAATGTTAATTACAGTAAATTAAAATTTATTAAGAAACTTTTTTTTCAACAATGGAAAATTATACATGATCTCGGTTACTTGAATAATGTATTTTTTAGAATCTTTTGTTCAAAAACGTCTGATTTTGTTATAAGCTAATATCTTCTTTTTTATTATGTATTACAATATTGTCTTATATATCAATTCATTCCTAGAAAGAATATTTCAGAAATTATTTTGGAATATTTTTTGTAACAAATTTATTTTAAAATTGCTGAGGAGGGTTTGCTTAAAATTCAAAATTTGTAATAATGTATTACAATATTGTTTTATATATCAATTCATTCTTGGAAAGAATATTTTAAAAATTATTTTGGAATATTTTTATAGCAAATTTATTTTAAAATTGCTGACGAGGGTTTGCTTAAAATTAAAAACTTGTAACGATTTAGGTAATAGAGAAAATGTGAAATGCACGGTTTGAAAAGATAATAGACCTATCTTTTCCTAATTACAAATAATTAATTTTTGTTCGTGTTTAGCATTCCACCTACTAATATACTTTAAAATTGTTTGCATTTAGACCTTCAATGTGCCATTGTCAAACTAATAGACTAATAGAAATAATTTTGTTTAACTTACAAAATAATATATACTAAATATTAAAATAATAGACACTTAACCTATTTTAGAGATAGAAAATCGCCAATGAATTTTCCTTGATATATTTGTTTGCATGAAGTGAAATACTTAAAAAATGTTACTTTTATAGGAGAGTTATGTGTGAATGTCTACCACCTAGAATAATGATGCAGATATCTCCTGAGGCTGTTGAAACGCAACATCGTATTTTGACTGGGATGGATGTGGATCAAAGCAAGGCTGGTTTCCTTATGTTGGTCCAATCTTGGCCTCTTTACAGAGCAACAATTTTTGAAGTCATGGTAATTTAAACGCTTTTCTTCAAACACTATTGAAATTATTGAACTATTCCTTTCTTCAAGCACTATTAAAACTATTTGCAAAGGATTTAAATTTTTGGAAATTAATTATTGTTCGTATGTAAAGGCTTTAGTTCTCATTGCAAAATGTAGTTTTTTGTTAATGACTAATAACAGTCTAAGTAACAGTGATCAGTGCTATAATATTTAATTGAAACTTGATTACTTCATTTTTATATAATTACTGGAATTCTTGCTATCATGACATGTTATCATGACATAGACATAATCATGTTTTTTTGCATGAATGCCTTTCCACATGGGAAATTTTTTTTTCATGCTACTGTATAAGAAGATATCTTTAAACTTTTTTTTTTACTTGGTGTCTAAATGTAAGCATAGTGTTGAGAAGGAGCAAATGAAATTATAATTAATCAAGTGTAAATAGTAATAATTAAAGAGTTACATTCTGTGGTATGTAACATTTGAAAAAATAATGATTGCCCCATTTGCAGTATATAATTGAAAAAAATAAGCTCTTAGTTGCAGCCTGTAATAATTGCATCAACATTAAAATGAAGCATCGTGTAAAAGAATAATTCTTTTTTTTGTCTTGTTTTTATTTTATTTTTTTTTTAAAAAAAAATTCCTTTTATCTTATTTTAAGTTTTATTTTTAAAGATTACTTTCAGTTTTTTTAAAATAATTTTATGAAATTTAAATGTGTAAAAGTGTAAATAGTTTCTTAAAACTAATTTAGTTTTTTTGCCTTATTGTTTTTCTCTGTGATAAATCTTAATGTTATTGTCAAACTATAAAAGTGATAAATTCAAATTGTAACACAGAAAAATATTCCCTTACCTCACTTTGTTATAATTTTCTCTTTGTAATCATATCTTTTCTATTATGACAGCAGGGATGGAATTTTTTTTTTCTTCAATGCTCTTTAAAAATATTAGCAGCTTTTTTTATCTTATAAAGAGTATTTAAAATGTTTTAATTGTATACAGTAATTAATTTTTTTTATTAAAATTTAATCAATTAATTCCAATTTTTTATGGTGGATACAAACTAATTTTATTCAAAAAGTTGGATTAAAAATTAGTTATGTGTTGTTTTACTTGATCTGGCTACAATTAATTTCTAAGACATCCATGAATTTTTATACTACTACTTGTTTTGAAAAATAGAAGTAATTTTATTAAACTACTGTATTAGTTTATTAAGAAACAAAATATATTGCATAATATATTTTGTAAATTTCTGAATTATGGAAATTTTTTTTAGCAATCTTATACGTCTTCTTGGCCAAAAGCCTTGTGGTTGGCTGTGGATCAAGTAGGAATTCATCTATTGGAGTTAAGGTCAAGGGTAAGATATTTAAACGTTTTCAATTTAAGACATTAAACTAGAAAACAAAGTTTACTTTTTATTTGCATCTTTAATTGCATCATTTTTAAAGTCTCTTCATAGAAATATGTAAGATATGTAAATGTTTTTGATTTAAGACATTAAACTAGGAAACAAAATTTACTTTTCATTTGCATCTTAAATTGCATCATTTTTAAAGTCTCTTCATTGAAATATGTAAGATTTGTAAATGTTTTCGATTTAAGACATTAAACTAGAAAGCAAAATTTACTTTTCATTTGCATCTTTAATTGCATCATTTTTAAAGTCTCTTCATTGAAATATGCAAGATATTTAAATGTTTTCGATTTTAGACATTACACTAGAAAACAAAATTTACTTTTCATTTGCATCTTTAATTGCATCATTTATAAAGTCTCTTCATTGAAATACCTATTTACAATTTATTAATTTTTTTAAGGTAAATTTTTATTTTACTGTACACTTTTTAAGATTATTATTTTTTAAATGTGTGATTTTGTATTTTTAATTAATGTTTATTCTACTGCTAAAGTTGCATTAAAAGTCGGTTATTTTAAATCTAAAAAAAGGCATATCTTTATTTCTTAAAATATAAAAATAATAAAATTGTCCTCTTTTAAGTTAGTCGATATAATTTTATTTACCTATAAAATTATATGGACTAACTTATGAGATTTTACTTTAGTTTTAAAGTCATTTTATTGAAATCTATTATGGATATTCATGCTGTGATTTTTTTGTTGTTGCCGTAATTGTTTTTAAATATTTTGATATATTTTGTCAATCTCATTTGAAGTTTATAGCTAATTGTTTTTATTTCAGAATGTCTTGTGCACGTGTGAATATGAAAGCATTATAAATTACAGTCCTTCTTTAAATAGCCTTATGATTGTTACTGGTACTGGAAGGAAAGGCTCAAAATATATCTTTTCCACTAACCAGGTTAGTGACTGAATATTTCTTTATAATTATCATAAAAAGAAGAAAAAAAATTGAGAAATTTCTTATATATTTTATTTATTTATGCTCTTATCCATTTGGGAGAAAAAAATGAAAATAAATGGATAAAAGTGAAGTTGCAAAAATTAATAGATGTGAATAGATATCATGAAATGTAGGAACTGATTTTGATTTTTAAACAAAATTATTTTTTCTTAATTTTTGTTTCTACTTTGGATTGTTCAAAAATTTGGTTGTAGAAANGTAAATTTGTAAAATATGTACATTTTTTTAGCAATCTTATACGTCTTCTTGGCCAAAAGCCTTGTGGTTGGCTGTGGATCAAGTAGGAATTCATCTATTGGAGTTAAGGTCAAGGGTAAGATATTTAAATGTTTTTGATTTAAGACATTAAACTAGAAAACAAAATTTACTTTTCATTTGCATCTTAAATTGCATTATTTTTAAAGTCTCTTCATTGAAATATGTAAGATATTTAAATGTTTTCGATTTTAGACATTAAACTAGAAAACAAAATTTACTTTTCATTTGCATCTTTAATTGCATCATTTTTAAAGTCTCTTCATTGAAATATGTAAGATATTTAAATGTTTTCGATTTAAGACATTAAACTAGAAAACAAAATTTACTTTTCATTTGCATCTTTAATTGCATCATTTTTAAAGTCTCTTCATTGAAATATGCAAGATATTTGAATGTTTTCGATTTTAGACATTAAACTAGAAAACAAAATTTACTTTTCATTTGCATTTTTAATTGCATCATTTTTAAAGTCTCTGCATTGAAATACGTATTTACAATTTATAAATTTATTTTTAAGGTAAATTTTTATCTTACTGTACACTTTTTAAGATTATTATTTTTTAAATATGTGATTTTGTATTTTTAATAAATGTTTATTCTACTACTGAAGTTGCATTAAAAGTCGGTTATTTTTAATCTAAAAAAAGACATATCTTTATTTCTTAAAATATAAAAATAAATAATAAAATTATACTCTTTTAAGATATTTAAATGATTTAGTAAATAAATTATTTAGTAAGTAAAATTAAATATTATAATTTTATTTACCTATAAAATTATATTGACTAACTTATGAGATTTTACTTTAGTTTTAAAGCCATTTTATTGAAATCTATTATGGGTATTCATGCTGTGATTTTTTTGACATAAGTGTTTTTAAATATTTTTATATATTTTGTCAATCTCATTTGAAGTTTATAGCTAATTTTTTTTAATTTCAGAATGTCTTGTGCACGTGTGAATATGAAAGCATTATAAATTACAGTCCTTCTTTAAATAGCCTTATGATTGTTACTGGTACTGGAAGGAAAGGCTCAAAATATATCTTTTCCACTAACCAGGTTAGTGACTGAATATTTCTTTATAATTATCATAAAAAGAAGAAAAAAAATTGAGAAATTTCTTATATATTTTATTTATTTATGCTCTTATCCATTTGGGAGAAAAAAATGAAAATAAATGGATAAAAGTGAAGTTGCAAAAATTAATAGATGTGAATAGATATCATGAAATGTAGGAACTGATTTTGATTTTTAAACAAAATTATTTTTTCTTAATTTTTGTTTCTACTTTGGATTGTTCAAAAATTTGGTTGTAGAAATGTTAAAATATTAGTAGAAACTTTAGAAATGTGAAAATAAAACAGGCATTGATTATTCTTTTATAAGCATTAAATGGCAGCTTATATGATCTACTAAGTTTTTGGTTTAAATTTCAAAAATACTTAAAGTATTGCTATCTGTGAAAAATATTTTCAACTTGTAATTTTCTAGGTTTTCTGTCAACTAAAATTATAATTTATATGAAAAATAGTTTTTTTTTATTTTTTTTATTTTTTATTTCCTGAAATAATTTTTACTTCCAATAAAGAATAGGGTATACCTCGTGTTATGAATATTATTTATTGACATAAAATTACTTAAATAATATATTTTTTGTTAAATTAATATTTTTGATCTACATTAATTAATATTTTTTATGTTAACTGATTTCTAAAAATAATGATTCCTTAAATTTCACAATAAAATTTATGTTGATTATTGTGTTCAGTAAGTTTTTTAATTGTTCTATATCTTATAAAAACTCTGCAATAAATCTGGAAAATGGCCGAACAATAAATAGCCACTAATTCTCAAATGTAATATATTTTATTTACAATTTTTTAGTAATATTTCTTGTAAAAATTTTTCTGCAGTTAAAATTAATTTATGTTAAATTAAATCAGAATATAAGTTTGTACAAAAAAATATATTGAAAAACTTTTTAAGAATGCTGACTTCAAATTGATTCCTAGATTTGCATATTTAATATTAAACTGTGTCATTGGGCAAATAAATGATGTGTTTAATAAAATTAGAGTTCAGAATTTTGTGAAGGTTTTATAGAAAAAGCTTTTAAAAGCCTGATAATTCTTTATTTATTTTTCTTCTGAAACTGAGAAGGAACCTTAAGTATATTAAGTTCATAAGTAAGATACTTAAGCTTAAGATCAGGACAGGAAGATCTTGTTGGGTAAAAAGTGATAATGCATATATTATAAAAAATTCACTTTGATACAGTAAATATTTATTTCCAACAGGAGATTTCATTTTGCTTAAGTTACACGAGTTTTCACAAAGAGATGTTAACACAATACTGTCACATTTTTATGAGAAGAAACGCCTATCAACAGTATCTATGGCAGCAAAATCTATTTATTTCAAAACTACAAAAAATTGGGTTATCACTTTTCAACCCTAAGGTCTTCATATATAGGTCACAAACAGAGGGATTGCTAGGGTTTACAGTGCTTGATGACAAACTCAGTTTTTGCACCCCTTTGCCTTGTGGTATATGCATCCTTTTAATAAGGGCCTTTTCAGGATCACTTCAAAATGATTACAGTTCACTACACTTGGCATTTGATTGTTAAATTTTACATGAAATAGGATTTTTTTTAAACTTTAAATAAAGTATTATTTTTGAAACAACGTAACTTGTTAATCTGTTAAATTTTTGATTCAGTTTAAAATTTAACAGTGTGTGTTACTAATGTAGTTTCTATTATACTTAGATGTTTTTGATTGCGCTTACTCTGTTTCATTCTAAGGGCATTTTTCATTAAATATATTGCCAATTTATTATTAAAAAAAAACTTTTAAGTAAAACAAATTACAATGATAGTAACAGACATCCTTTTAAATTTTTCGGCAGATCGGATAAAAATTTGAGAAAATTAGGGTGCTCTTAACTTACAAATGAAACTATTTAAAAACGAAAAACATTTTATTCTAGAATTTATTTTCAATTATTTTTTCATTTATTTTGCACCACTCTAAGGCTGTGCCTTGGAACATATGTCTCCTGATGCCGCTCGCTAACTGTGCCACTGGTCATAAACTTCATTAAGGCCTGGTTTCTTATGATAAGCGCCTTCTCTGGGCGTTAACGTACCGCCGATGCCAACAAAATACTGTTTAGTTAGCTCAGCGTGAGCAGTCGATCCAACGCAGACATTATCTCGCATTGCGCATGCGTTAATAATGTAAACAGATATTTATTTTTAATTTGTATTTATTTTGTTATTGTCAACCAGTGCTTTAGAGAACAAATAATGCCTTTCTCCAAGAAAAAACACATTATAGCTTAACTAAATGAAGAAGAAGAAAAAGAAGAAGCTATGTTTAATGTTAAAATCAAAATCTTGGCTGAATTCAATGCTCTGTTGGATGTTGTCCGCCATTGCTTCTGTCGTTAACGTTATGTTGTAATCCAACTGCAGTTGATTCGGACATTAGTCGTCGTTCAAGCTGAGCGTTCGATGACGTATGCTGTCTAACTCACAAATTCACCAATCAGGGGTCGCTTCAAGCTGTCGTTCTGTAACGCCGACCTGTCCTAAGAAACCAGGCCTTTAGGTTTTATTATAATTATAATTGCTTTGAATATATTTAAAAATATTTATTATGGGAAACCTAATTTAATATACTCTTTCATTTAACGCCTGCTAAATTTAAAAATGAAATTCTATTTTTAGGCCACCCAAATAGCCCACCTGATTAAAGATTATACAAACGTACTTGCCATGAAGAGGAAGCCAGTTGAAGTGGCCAGACGAAGAAGAACACAAGAGTTGCAAGACGCAGCTGCTCACAAAAGCCATCGTCCTGTCAGCATCCTGTACAAGCCTCCACCACCTCTGGTCAACAATGAACCTGTTTGAGAACTCCAAACAAAACAGACAATGTGGAAAGGAGTGCCTTGAATTCAAAAACATCTTCGTCAAGGACTACATAAAAGATTTGACTGATTTCTCTTCCCCCATATATCAAATATGATATTGAGTTTTCATTTATCTTAAGAGTGTTTGTATTCGATAATGTTTTAATGTTGGATTTTTGAAAAAAAAAGATCTGTAAGCAAGAGCTGGTATCTAAAACAAAAATAGCATTTTTATGTGATCTGTTTAAATTTTTTTTAAATTTCATTTGTATCAAATTACAAATCTTTTATATATTTCTTAAATACGTAATGAATCAAAAGAAAGTATTATGTTCATATAAGGTTTTTGATATGACAATTGGTGCTGATGCAATGATATCATTTTATTCTCATTTAATTTTACACTTATGTTATTTACATATTTTTAAAGTCTGAACTTCGTTTTTACTCAAGCGTACAATTTTTCCTTGTTTTTTTCTCGAAGTGTATCTGAATGCTTTGTGGCGTGCATTTGTTTGCTGGACTCTGACTGCATAGGACTTGAAACTCATTTAACTTTAGAGGCTAAACTCATCTTTCTGCTCAAAGGCCATGATATATATTTTCAATGGCCCATCATTACTGTCTGTGATGTTTGATAATTTAAGCTTTACTATGTCTATATGTGCACTGTCATTTGCTGAATACCAACTTTGCTTTTTATCATCAGCTTTACTGTTAAATTATGTTCAAATCAGGGATAACAAGTTTCTTCCGTAGTGGAAAAAACAATGGAAAAAACTGATTTAGAAAAAATAGTGGATGAACCTAAGTATTAAAGCATTTTTTATAAATAATTTGTAATTACAATCTAGTTTAAAGAACAGTATCAATTTCCAATTCATCATTTTTTAATAGTGGAAGTTACAACTATTGGAGAGAGTAATGAATTCCTAAGAAATAAAAACAAATGTAGTTTTTTTTTCCTTCAATATTTTATGTATAGGAGTCTTCAATATTTTATGTATATTAGTGGAACCTAATTTATAATTGTATATAAAATTGTTAAAATATCATAATTCAACATTTTTTAATACAGTTAACGAATCACATTGAGTTAATTTTTTAATAAATTAACAAATCACGTACTAATTATAATCTCTACTGCATATCACATATTAAATTTAGAATTTGCACGCATTAAATTACGTATAGCTTATTAATTTTTATAATAAAAAACTCTTAGTATACATAAATCAACTCTTAGATAACATGATATATCGCCTTAAAAATCTTTTTAAAATAAATAGTGAAAATGATTTTTTTTTTAAAGAAGTAAATGGAAAATTTTTTTTAACTTTCAGGTAATATTTTAAATTTTATTTGTTCATGCTTAAATTCGTATAATAGTCAGAAAGGTCCTGGATAAGGCACAGATGTTCCTTCCTTCTGTACTATCTGTCCTTCTTACTGTACCTGCTGCATTGGCCCACCTGATATCGTGCCCCTGAGAAAGTGGTCAACAAAATCTGCCCATCTGCTACCCTATTTCTATATTCGGATGGACGTTGTAAAAAAAATTCTTATAATACTTATAGATAAACAAATGTATATGTTACTATTAGTTTCTTACATTTTATCCAGTTTATTTATTTCTGCCAGTTTTTTTCAGTTTCTTCCACTATCTTGGAAGATGTAGGTTTCTTCTGGAAGAAATCCTAACCCTGATTTAAATGAACTCTTGCACAGCTTTATATGTTGTGCAAATGGCTGAACCATTTTTTAAGGGGTGCAATAATTGAGTGTTTATAGAATACTTGAAATTCCTTAGATAGGATTAAAAGATCAATTAGTGATTATTTATATTTTCCTTTGTTGAGATTGAGATAAGTGAGCTTTTATTGTGTTTTCTATTTATTTATTTATTTAATCTTCCATTTATGCTCAATGATTTCAACACAAGTAAAACTGACATTACTTTTACGTACAATATATAAAGATATTTGTTTTCTCATACAATTTGAATACTCATTTTAGTCATTATCATCTTAAATGTGTTTATATTTTAAGGATCTTTAACAAATTATGTTTGTAAGAAAAGAAAATATCTCATTTTAAATTTAAGTTTCATAAAAGCGATTACTTTTTAGATGTATTTTATACTTTATCACAAGCGTTTTTTAATTTTACTCTCATTTTTATCATACCTAACTACATTTATTTATTCTATCATACTCATAAATTCTTGAAAAATTTTTTTAACCAGATAATTTAGTTTATATAATCTCATTTGATTATATTTGAATTGTTTTTGATAATTTGCAAAATTTGTTTTATTTCTTATTTACATTTACTTAGTATAAGTTGGCTGAACAGTTTACTTAATGAAATTATGTAATTTTAGATTTTTTATATATTTTAATGGTGTTTTTTTACAATTGACTTTATTAAATTTGTTTAATTGATTATACCTTACAGTTTTTGAATAGTTTTTTTTATACTATTACATTTTCTACTTAATCATTTCCTTTCATTTTAATGCTACTTACAATTCAAACTTGTTTACTATATTACTAGTATATATAAATATGCAGTAGTTTAGAAATAAAAAAAGTGAAAAAAAACTGTAACTAAGCATCTGTATCGGTAAAAGAAATGCAATTCCTTTTACTTATAGAAATTTTTAGTTCATGGATTTGAATCCAGGTATGTCTATAAAAAATGTGAATGATTAAATATATTAAGGTGCCATACATGGGACAGCCAAATCGTGTCTAATACTACCCAGTGCCAATTTTCAATGCACTTTTATTATTTAATAAGCAAAAACTAAAGTTTCTTTTGATAAACATCTAAAATAAGTGCCCTAAATAATACCATCTAAGCTTGGCATTTCTATATTGTACACTGGTATACAGTTGTCGAAAATAATCCAAAATGTGACTTTTAATTACTATATACTAATTAATGGTATAAATGAGTGAATCGACTGAGTGTGAATACTAATTGTGTTTTTTGTTTTTTCAAGATTTTTATATGAGTAGGTTCCATCTATTTGAGATGGTTTTTTACTTAACTGTACATTTTTCAGATTGAAATTTTTATTTAGTAAAATTTTAAAGAACTCTTCTATAATAGTAGAGTAGAATACATTTTTTAGGATCTGCCTGTATCTATTAACGTGCTTTAATAGGATTTTTACAGTTTGTTGGAATCGGTTTGATAATGTGAAATATTTCTGAACCTTGAAGTGTGTTATAATATGAATGATTTTTCATCCATGAAATTATAATATAATAGTTGATGTATTATTATAAATCCTATAATGTTAAGGTTTTTAAGTTTTTTTTTAACTTCTTGAACAGTAAAAAAAATTTTTTTTTTATGAGAATTATGTATAAATGTTCTTAAATTTTCATTTTTATTTATTTGTTGAATACTGTACACTAAATTATTTAGTTTTATGAATCTAAAAGTGAATTAAATATAAGTTTTATTAACAGGAGATTTAAAATAAAATTCTTTAATGTTTATTTTAAGTCATTTGTCTAATATTTTGTGCATTTTTTTTCGTTGATTGTAAAGTACTTAGTATAATAACAGTTAAAATAATCACATTTTCTAAGTTTTGATAATAGCTTAAAAATATTTAAAATTTTTTTAATTAATATTTCTAATTAACTGAAAAAAGTGCATTTACATTGTATGTATTGAAAGTCGTTCTATCACAATATAAAACACTACTTAAAATTATTTTCCTAATTGTTTTATGAATTTTTTTTACTAGAAATTTATGCTTGTTTTTCTTCCTTTAAATGCTTATATAAAATGATCAGTAAACATTTTAAATTGTTTCCTCTTAAAAAAAAAAATTTCTTTTGAGGCAAACATTTTCTTAAACCAAAAAACCACTATGCTAAATTAAAAATAAAATATTATATCCACAACCTTTTCTAAAATTATTTTTTATTAAATTTTTTGGAGTTGGAAAAGTTATGAATAAAATTAATACACAGATTATGAATCATCAGAAAATTTAATATTTTGAAATTATGAAGTATGGTGCTTATGGCATTTGTTAAATGGTGCTCTTTTAATTTTAATTGGTAGTTTAATCAGTCTATGCCTTAATATCAATAAAAAAATTTAAATATAGAAATTTGATAAAATTGTTAGATAGAAAATTAAAGTATAGTTCATGGAATTTATTTCGTTATTAAATTTAATAAGATTTTAAATTAAGTGAATATTTTTTGTTAAGTAATTTAGAATTTTTGTTTTCCTTTAAAAAAACAGTTTGAGACTAAATTACCTTGTAAGATTAGCTTATAAACTGTCATTTATGTAGCAATATATCAGCAATTTCATTGTATGTTCATATTTTCTAATTTATAACTCAAACCATTCGCTAATCCTTGTGTATATCTTCTTGTATATAGCATTTATTAATAAATTATGAAAGTATATAGAAAAGTTTTGTTTTGAATTCATTCAACTAGATTGTTGAATTTTATTGTGATTTTTTTTTTATCAATACAAAACTACTTACAAGTCATTGTAATAAGTTTAAGGTCACCTTGCTTTCTATTCCCCATCTTTTGATTTGGAAAAAAAAATTCTATGCAAAATGCGTTATTGTAAATTGGATATTGCAATTATTATGAAATGACTAATATATTTTTCAAAACATTTTATGTAAAGAGACTCAATTTATTTGTGAATAATTGTCTTCCTATTATATTGAAGGCTTATTTATTGACATTCCTGTATCAAAGCTGGCTATACATTCTGTATATTATTGTATTAGTTGTACAAATTAAAGGTGGACCCTAGAGTTGATATGAAACTGTTTAGTTTGATTTATTTCGATCAACATGACATTTGAATGCTTCAAAATTGACCAAGAAAAGGGAAAAAAAGAAGACTAATCAGCAAGTTTCTAAACTCCAAACTTTGTCGCTAGATGGCACTACTGACTGAGAAAAACTCTAATACAACGTTTGCAAAATAACTATCATTTGCAGCAACAAAGTGAATGCTGTCTGAAAGCAAAACTAAGAGACGCTCATGTGAATAATTCATTTACAATGATCTGACATTTAGCAAAAACCGTTGTTTTATAGATTCTTTTGCTAGAATGTCCATCTTTTGATGACCGTGGTGTTTAATTCTGAAATTTGGTGCAAATGAATAC